ACCCCACAAATATCGCACTTGACCAACGGATTTGCGGCTTTTTGATTGCCTTGCCCTAAATCAACGGATAAATTATACCAGGTTGGGCCAGATTTGTTGTTGGACCGGGCTTTGGACGGGGATGGGCTAATCAGATTTCGTGAAGGGACGCGCGTAAAAAAATGCCATATTCAACCAAGAAATTGCAGGAGAATGTATGATTGTGATTCTTCTGGAAAGATCACGCACAGCAGTCAGGTGGCTACACGCGACTCACGACACACCAGGTTGTATTCCCGCGCTCCCCCCATCCTCTCTACTCTACCTCTGAAATCTCTCAACCCTCTACGGCTGACTTCGCAGTCGATTGTTAACCCGCCACTCTCCGCAGGCACGCACGAGCCCGTGTTTGGGTCTTCCTATTTTCATATTACCGGGACATGAGAACGTTAGAGAAGACATCACCATCCTCAATCCACAAGCCTCCATCCACACAAAGATTGATTTCAAATCCGGTGGGGCCTTTGTGACCGATCAGCCAAAACTCCCACCGCCTGCCGGCCTGCCGTCCTCCTGCAGACCTCTCCTGCAGCTCCCCCCTTCCCCGCATGCATGCGCAGTATCCAAAACAAATTAGTGGAACTAAAAAATTAAAATACGAACAACTTAAAAATCAAAATATGAATATGATTACACACAGAGTATGAACTCATCAGGCAGCCCACATGGGAACGAGCTCCCTCGGTCCACGCCCCAACAGCTGGAGGCCAAACCCGGGCCCAAACCCCCCCGGCTCCCCAAACCCCCCTACGGCTGCCGCCATATTATCTTCTTCCTCCTGCTCATCAGCAGTGTCGTTGCCCCAGTAATCGTAATTATCTTCTTCCTCGTTCCACTCACCGCTTTCCTCATCATCATCGTCGTCATCGTGATTCATCCCAAAGCAGTCATCGTCGTCGTCGTCGTCCATTCGTTCAGCAAATCTGGTGGCCTTGTCAGGCCGCGTCTCCCCTTCTCCCCACGTGCCATTTACCGCCATTTGTTCCACGATCCAGGATCGAATCGCATAGGGAGCGGCTGTAATAGGCTCATCTTGTGAATCTTTTTTCTTCAAGGCAGCGCATCTAGCTTCGGCACGGCGCAGAGCTTGCCACCAATCAACCGGATAGCCCTCGGATGCGAACCATTGCAGGACTTCTAAGCTACTGCCCGAATACTTGCGATCGAGCCGGTCGTCGTACTGTACGATGTCGTGCACCGCCCGAAGGAAGATATTGCCGTCTAGGTCCCATTCACAGCCCAGGCCCAGGAGGCAGCGCAGGGAGAGAATGTCGCCCTGCCGGGCCGCGACGACGAACGCTTCGGGTGTCATATCCTGCATGAGATTAGAGATGCGAGATATGAGAGATATGTGAGATGTGAGAAATGTGAAGCAGGCAGATGGCCATCGGAGTTTTCTCAATCTTCGGGGCATTGACCAATTTCGACAAATTATGCAGACAGAGAAGTTTAATAATAATAATGTACTAAAGTGCATCGTTTTGGAATTTTTTAAAAACACCTTGGCGCTCTTTTGAATCCGCACAACAACTGAAAACGTTATTCTTCCTCTGAAACGTTGCTGAATGCTTGCAAGAACCTCATCATGGCAATCAGCTAGCTGATCGTAACACATAGATATATAAACAAAGATGACGCGCACGCACGCACCTCCGTTTTCCAGCCTCTGTTCGCCAGCCACTCCAGGAATGCCGGCTTGCCCACTTGCACGGCCACCAAGAAGATCTCACGTCGCCGCCACTCTTCCAGTTCTGACGTTCCCTCCAAAATATCACATATAGAACGGAGAAAGAGGTAGGCAGCTTCTCCCCCATCTCCACTGCTACTACTACTACTACTACTACCTCCTCCTCCTCCTCCTCCCCCTCCATGTCCTCCGCGGCCGCCATAGTAATTGCTACAGCCTGCTCCTCCATTCCTGCCGCCATCATCTCCGCCCCCCTCGCCTCCTCCTCCTCCTCCTTCTCTACCTTCTCGCTCTGTTTCCAATCGGCGGTCCAGGCTCATCATTCCTCCTGCAGATGCGAACCCACAGGGTGGGGGCGTCTGCATCCTTAGCTTTTGCTGCATCTTGCGCGCCTCCTGCAGCCGCTCCCGCTCCTGCAATACCCACTCCACCGTCTCCACGCTGCCCGAATTCGCCGCCTCGATCAGCACACCGCCCAGATACGTCACCCGGAACGCCTTTGGGTGGTGCTCTGCTAGCCACTGCAGCACGTGCAAGTGCCCCTTCGCTGCCGCTTCTTTCGCCACGTCCGTAATGATGGAGTGTTCGCCATTGACAAGATACCAGCCCAGCGCCAAGAGCGTCCCCAGAACAGCCACGTTTCCGGCACGGGCCGCTTCGCAGAGCGCGGCGGGGAGCCGCCGTGGCAGCCAGGGCCGGCCTTGCCGAAGATACCGGAGCAGAGGCATGTTGGCGCGGCGGACTGCTGCCAGAAAAAGCTCCGCTACCAGCCCACGCTCCCTCCGCAGAGTCCGTTCAGGCAGCCACTGCAAGCGAGTGACGCAGTCCGGGCGAGCTACCAGCTCCTCTACTTGGCCTTCTAGGTGTTTAATGCTTAGTGGATTGTCCAGAATACAGCCCTGCGTCCCTAGCCATTCAATCTTGTCTCGCCAATCGCTGCTGGAGCCGGTAAGGGCAGATGGAATGGCGACCCATTCGAGCTCCCAGGAAAGGCCTTTCCGGTTTGGAGGCGTGGAGGTTGCAGCGGTGGCCGCTGCGGCTGTGATGGTGGTGGTGGACGGGATGATGTTGTCGTCGTCGGGCGCTCCGCCATCACCCATGTAGGCGGCGGTGTCACTGCAGCCTACAGCCTTACTATTTTTATTATTACTTTTATTCGTGCCCAAGTTAACCGCGTCGTAATAGTTCACGCTTCTGCTGCTGCTGTTGTTGTTGTTGTTGCTGCAATTGCAGCTGCTGCTGCCGCCCGGGCCGTTGCCCCATGTGTGCGAATCGACGACAGTATCTGAAAATGAGGCACCAACCACTAAGACATGATGGAGCCTTTTCAAGGTCGCCAGATCGAATCCGTGCGCGGCCGCTGCTAAAATCGTAAGCTTTCGTTCGTCAGGCATCAGAACTGGATCAGACCAGAATCGCTCTAACAGCCAAAACGTGAGATCTACGTGACCGGACCAGGCGGCGTGTGCGACGGCGCGCCAGTCGGGGAGAATGGAAACGCCCGAGAGCTCCTCGCACAGAGCACTGTGGCCGGCTGCGGCTGCTGCGGACCACAACGCGTTGCTGAACTCTGCCGATCTGGGCTCGATCCCCGGCAGCAACGCTTGTAGCAGCCAGCGCAACATTTCGACGTGGCCGCTGCGCGCACCTGCCTCGCATAATTCTCTGGAATCATAAGGGCATTCCACGGCTGCCAGCCACCGGCACACCTCCACGTGGCCGCCCTCGGCTGCAGCGTTGAAAATGTCTTTAAATAGCGAGCAGCCGACGACTTTAATGGCAATTTGTAGGTTGGCCAAGCTGCCGCTCCGTGCCGTAAGGGTAAGGAGCTGTCGACGCTGGTTAAGTGCTAGAGCGCGTATCTCATCAGGGCGGCTCCATTGCCAAGCGAACGCATGATGCGGCGAGGGCTCCGATAACCGAATGCCTATGTAGGCCTTAAGCTGCTCAGCCAGGTCTTTGTTGATGAGTCGAACGGTGCCCGCCACAAAGTTTGGCGGAAGAAAGCTAACGATGTGCTCCACGAGCTCCGGCGCTAGGAGGGCCCATGGCCTCCGCTCCGAAAGGCGAGGCCCAGCCATCACATCATCTCGTTGAAGCAGCATCCTGTATTTCTAACAGATTATTAAGGATTTTGCTGGCAGCGAATTTTCGGCTTGCGAGCAGAAACTTCTATCCTACATGGGAGTGGCGTAGGGATTACAACTATTACAGGATGCGATAGCTCATATACGCGGCCAGAATATTGAAATTAATAGTTTCTCCACATCAAACATTTTTTTCGCGGCCGCCGCTATGAAAGATTTATTTCCGTACTGATCCTGTGGCTCCGGAGCCCTATCGACAGCGGTCGCATATCCTGCTATGCTAATCATATCTCCTCCGTCTGCGCGATGATAGGCGACGATGCAGATGTTTCCGGAGTTCAGACAAGGTACGGTTCATGTGGGTGGTGTTTGCCTGGCAGTTTCCGAAACTCCCACGCGCCTCCTGACAAGTCCCTGGCGCCACAAACACTCTGAATAACACCGAACTAGGGTCAGTAGCCGCCGAGAACCAATCTCCTATCCAAATTGTGTCACTTTATGTAGAAGGCAGTCTTGAGGCTGCGCAGCGGCGGCATTTGTGGCGCACGCGAGGATCCTGTAGGGGACGTACCAGCTGCTGCAATGGATTTATGCGATAAACGCATAATCATATAGAGATACTTATTTAAGGGAAAACACTTGGCTTGTTCATGAAGAATGGCGCAACCGCAGCGACTCGCATCCGTGGCTACAGCGAAATCCGTACGAAAGAACGTACGAAAGAACGAGTAATGATGCCAAAGCAGAGAAAATGTGTAAGAGTAAACAATATTTGTATTTTTTTCCATTGACATGCACGAATGTTTTTGCTAGTCCTACTGGTTAGTTTGGGCATGACGCGCCCGCCATCGGTCGTCAAGAAACAGAAGCTCAAGACTTTGCGTGGATTACCTCTAGATATAATGTACAAAACTTTGAGTTTTTTTTCGCTCTCGCCTGCAACTTATACTAGTTATTGCACGGGAAAGCGAGGTGCTACGCGATGCGAAATGGATGGTCTGCCGGAAACCCGGATTTAAATCGTTATCAGATTTTTATGATATCTCATTTTATTCTAAGTATCTCGCTTTAGTATCACTACGGCTTTCGGTTGGTTCCGATTGTTGCCGTGTAAGGAACCATTACATTGTGACCAGCGCACAAGCCAAATCGTCGCTATCAACACAAATGCAGCAAATAAGTAATTTTCCTGCATGTAATCACATGGCGAATTAGTGTAGTTGTCTCCGTTAGTTCATGGAAGTGTGTCTTACGTCGTTTCCCTGGGTCCATGGCAACAGATCCAAAAATCGCCCTGCCTTAACAATACAAAGACCTCAGTGTTATAAATGCGACGGCATCTTTTCTAACCGTTTTTTTGTAGACGACGTCAAGTTGCAGTGAAGGGAGGAGGGGGAGCGCGAGAACTCTCCCTTCCCCTTCCTTCATCATGTCTATGATCCACCACCACCACCCGCAGGTCTCCTCCGAGCTGGGGCCTCCACCCACCGCCCCGCCCCGACCTCAGACCCTTCCCTTCAAGGAGATAAAGAAATACTAAGTGTTAGAGAAGCACGCAAGGCCCCGCGGCCGCAGCAGTTGTCCTACCCTATGGAACGCCGCCACGGCGGTGTGCCCCTTCCTAGCCGCCAGCCGATCACATATCACTGTAACAACCACACACATCGTGCTGTGACGACACCACCACTGCTGGCGCTCACGCTGTGCTGGAATGGAGCGCCGCCTCGGTACGGCACTTGCGAGTGAGGTGAGGGCCGCAGTGCGGCGGATGCTGCTGCAGATGCTGTGATGTGACGTGACGTGAAGATTTCTATTTCCAGGGATAAACACATTCTCAATATCATCTGTTGCGGCTCTCTGGGTGTCCATCAGGGTTTCCATCAGCCGCACACTAGGTAGGTAGGTAGGAGTTGAGTTTTACAGCGCTTACCAAACCCAGAAGACGCTGACCAGCAAAAGCACTTTACTTATCTTACGCCACTTACTCCTTACGCCTCGACTGCAACAAAAACAACCAACAACGACAAGCAAGTATGCAAACAACTTCTGGCGTCATCCTTTTCCAGGTTCATTCATAATTCTCGCGGAGGTGGCCCCCCTCAACTCCGTGCACCTTTCACCTCCCCAGCCGCCGCTTTGCAGCGCCCCCCGCTCTGCAATGCCAGTGTGTTAGAAAATGAACTTCATGGAAAAAGTTACTCTTGGGAAGATGGTTACGCGAGTAGTAAGGAGGACGACGAGAACCTACGACATACATACATACATACATACCCACACACCCTTTTATTAGCCTTCCCCAGTACCCACAGGTTTCCCCCACAACCCACCACAACCCACCATCCACCAAACCACACAAAACCCGAAAATCCATACTCGGGAATAGCAGTTGCCTCAGGATGCCGTATCATCTGTCGTACGGGTGCCGTACCCACGAGGCGAGATCAGGTTCAAGGCCAACTCGCGCATGGGGAAAAAAACACAAACCACACAAGACACAGACCGCAAGGAAGCACCTCTTCACCGTTTCTCTCCCCCCCACACCCGCATGTCTGCCGTACGCACGTGTTTTGTCGATGCTACAGTCGTATATGACGCGACACGCGCGCAGTGGCGGGGCCCCTCCCGGCCCCCCCCCCCCCCCCGCGTGCACTTGCGTCGCAGAATAGCACCCCTCACCCCACTTGCGTGTCCAACAGCACTTACGACGTTCCGAGTACGAGTACACGGTGAGGAGATATGCAGAGCATCAATAGAGTCTCCTTCCATTCCAACCCTCTTGGCCCCCAGTGCCCCTACTGGGGGGCTCTGAAGAAGAGGGCCCCGGGATCCCCCGCCCCCCGCCCCCCGCCTCCCGCCTTCCCCCCCGTTTTCCATGTGTTTTAGCCCACGACGCCCGGCCTCCCCACCTCCCGCCGCCCCCCCCTGCGCACAGGCCAGAATGGCAGTACCACCCGCCGCCGAGCCCAGCTGCCGTCACCGCCGGTTGCGCCCTCCTCCCCGCCGCCTTCGACCCCCGCGCCATCGTCCGCCCTGCCCCTAACCCGAGCCCTGCTGTCTTCTTCGGTCTGCCGCTGCTGACGGGCCGTCGTGGTGGAGGTGGCGGCGCCGCCGCGCTGAACGCTTCCGTACCGGTACCCGGCGACAAAGGCTAGTACGAGCAGGGGCGTACGGCGCAGTACGCCCACTGCCAGGGACTGCCACCAGGGTCGACTCCCGGAGACTATCCGCCGGTAGCGACGAACCTTTTTAGAGCCGGGGGGGGAGGGGGGATTGCAACGAGGAACAAACAAAGTAGGGTGTGTGGGGTGTGGGTGTGGGGTGTGTGTGTGGGGTGTGGGGGGTGTACTTGGTACTTGGGAATTAGCCCCAGATGGATCTCCGGATCCACCGAGAGCAATTTTCTTTATTGACAGGTCGGACCCGCTGCCCTCTACCACCCCCACCCCCACCCCCACCCAATGAGCCCCCCTAAACACATCCGACACAGGTCCAAATGCGCACCTGGGCCAGCATGGCCCGGATGGCGCCCTTGCGCATTCGGTTTATTGCGATGACAGGCGCGTTGACCCGTGGGTCGGCCCCCTCCGTTAGCAGGTCCCGACTGCTCTCAGGCAAATGCATGGCCACCCGGCGGGGGAGCGCCTCCAGGACAAACCTGGAGGAAAGGGGGGCCCCGGGGGGAGGGGGGTAGGAGGTCGAATGCAGGGAGAAGCGCACAGAAAACCTTCCCGAGAAAAAAGGGAAAAGGCGGGGCGGGGATGGGAGGGCAGGGGAGGGGAAAGTCCAGGGAGATTAACACGGGAGGTATATCCGGGGCGAGCGGGAACCATTCAGGGAGGGGCCCACAGGGGGGTGGGAAAGGGGCGCGAGGGGGGACGTGTACATATGCAAAACCCTAAATGTTCTGTTGGGTGTTTCAAAGCATTGGAATGTTATTCATGATGACGTCCTGAACCTATTTTCATTGAGTTGGCGCGACGCAGGTAGGGGGGGGAATATGTAAGGGGGAAGAGTGTGTCAAAAAGTCCCGCCGTACCCGTACCCGTACCCGTACTGCCGCACACACGACCGTTAGACTGATACCGAACCCCAAATACAGCGGGTGGGCCAAACCCTTTCCCCCCCCACCCACACGCACACATTCATCACCTTCTAGCCTGCCTTCCCCCTCTTTTTCCCCGACCTCCAACACCCCCTCCCCCCGGGGGTCAAACTCGCTTGGTAACCCCCCTCCAACCTGCCCCTGCCTCTGGGCCCCTCCCCCTCCCCTTCCCCCCGCCGCCAAAACACACCTACGCCCGGGAGGCACGGGCTCGCCGTCCCTGTTGCCCGGCCACATAAGATCTGGATCCGGATCCTCCACCATCAACAAGATCCAAGGAACCCTCAGGATACGGACATTGGAGGGCTGGGCGGCGTCCAGACCGCGGGCCAAGATCTCCCCAACCTGGAGAGGGGGGGAAGAAAAACGTTTTTTTTAGAATACAGGGTTTTAGATTTTCAAAGTTTTCATTTTTTTCGGAGATTTGATAAGTAAAGGTTATTTTGAGATGGCGAAGATGGAGGAAGGAACGGTTGAAAATCAGATGGTGACGATGATGCTGAAGATAGCGACGATGATGATAATGACGGTGCAAAAAGCAAGGGGGGCTTCTCTGGAATGTGGCGGGAGGGTGAATATGTACGTATGTACGTATGTACGTATGTATGTTACACATGCACATCTTTTTCCTCTCCATTCGCCACCAAGATCCCATTCATCCACCCAAATCACCCCCAAACACAGACACACATATACACACACGCACACGCACACAAAACAAACACACAAACGGTTTCCCACCAGGGCTGTGGCCCCGTCCACGGCGCCGCCTGTGACGTATGTGATGTCCAACAGGCCGTCATCCAACAGGGCATCAGGACAGGCCTGCGGGGGTGGAGGTGGAGGTGGAGGTGGAGGTGGAGGTGGAGGTGGAGGTGGAGGTGGAGGTGGAGGTGGAGGTGGAGGTGGAGGGGTCATCGCCAGGAGGGGAAGTGATCACCAATCGAGGCGATCATCAAACCCTTGAAACGGGTGGAGAGGCGAGGTAAAGGAACGGCCGGGTAGGTCAAACCTAGCGGAATGTACGACACCAAATTGAGCCCTCACGTGCTCAGGGTGAAACGGAGTATATATATTTGGGTTTCATGCACAAGACTGATGACGCACAGAACAAAAGTTTAGCTGGCTGGTAAATCAAAAAAAATGTTTGTTGTATTGAGAAATTAGTTTGCTTTTATCGAAATTGGAAGAAAAGTAAAAAAAAGCAACCGAACCTGTCAAGATCCGTTGTAACAACACTCCCTCATTTAATTTTTTCTTTTCATTTCGATCATTCCGATAAACCGAGAGCATCGCTAGGATGTCCCAACGAAAATATAACCGCCTTACATACCTGTAACATGCTCGCCAGCTGACGGCTGTTTCCCGCAGTCAAATTTAAAACCTGCTCATGAATCTGCTGACCCGAGGGGGGGGGCCGGGGGGGGGGGAAGTAAAGGGTTTGTATTTTAATGTAATAAAAAGCAAAAAGAATCAATCACCGGCGGCGGCATTCAACGTGTTCAACCGGTAAAATAACGGAAAAAAACGGTAAACACCTGATGACGACGGAAACCCCCCCGAAGTAGGCGACTGGTACCTGGTATCCTGTACGGCATATCACGGGATCTGCATCCGGCAATCCGTATTTTTTCTGTATTGTTTGTGTGTAATTTTAGCAAACTAAACTAAACTAATGTTATTCTTAAACAGTATTTTGAAGTCGCGAAGTATAACAGCGACAAATCGAAATGAAGTCAGATAACAACAAATTCGGCAAGGCAACACCCAAAACCCAAAAATACCCTAATCCCCTCTTTCCCTCCTCCCCCGCCCAAAAATATAATTAAGAAATACCGATTCCACCTCTTCCCCCTAGCTAAAATCATTTTTCCACCCAGCTCCCATATTGACTCCCCGGAAAACCACCACGACACGCACCTCCACCGTCTCCTTCCAACCCCCTCTCTTTCCCCCCTTGCCCTTGCCCTTGTCCTTCTCTCCCCATTGCGCTCCGGAACCAGATTCCCCCCCAGCCATCTTGGTGCCAGCGGCTTTGATGGCCGTGGCGGGAGTGGAGGCCGGGGCTGCGGTTGGTGTTGGGGACGGGGTTCGATCCGGGGATGTGGGGAAACGCATCTTGACGGGTACGGCAGAATACCCTGGCAGGCGGGTGACACCTGGTGGTGGTGCGGTACGGCGGTGCGGCGGCGGCGGGGGCGGCGGGGGGGAGGAAACGGGCGGGGGAAGGACGGGGGAAAGGGGGGAGAAATTTCTTAGAGAATTCTTGGCTGTCCTGAACTAGAATATACTTTATACCCAACCAACAGACAACAGATAAAGAAAGATAAAATTTGGGGATGGCGGAGAATGTATATGTACGGAAGGTCGTTTTTTCCGTTAACCGGAAGGAGCGGCCGATGAGGTGAACGATGGCGACTCGACGACGATAGCGATAGAGAGAACTTGAGGACTTGAGGACTTGAACACAGAAGACTTTCCGTGAGGCCGATGAGGATAAGGATGAACGACAGAAAGCCAAAGAGGCGTATGCACGCATTATGGGGATGCAAGTAACATGTCCTCGAGTCAAAGGTGCCATAAAAAAATATGTCTTCCCCAGTGAAATGGAGCGGTACCAGATATCTGTCCAGAGACCATTTTCCAAGAGCACTAAATCATTTTCACATCTTAAAACATTTCTTATATAGAATACATCCCTGAATCAGGAATTCCTTCGCGCATTGCCGTACACTGCCGTACATTGTCGTACAATACATTCCGAAACCCCCACGGTCCCCCCCATCCGCCGTTCTGTCTCAAACAAATCCCTCTCCCACAAAGCCCGCTGATATAAGTAAATAAATAAATAAGCAAGTCGCCCCACCTTTGACTAGGTACGCCGCAGGGCCCAGAAGCTTTTTGGCTTCGTGACTGGTTTCGGAGCCCAATTCGGAAGATGCGCCCAGAGTGGCCGTATTCATAAAAACCTTTCGGAGAAGGTTTTATGGTTTTTAAGAAGGGTAATAAGATGAGAGGGACAGGGACGGGCAGTGCGGTGGGGTTTACTTATAAAAAATAATGTTTGGATCTAGAGACAATTCGGTCTGATACATTTGGCTTTTGGCGATATCAGATTCAATTCAAGTTTCAAGGTCCGCGGTGGAGTCGTAACATAACATAACATAACAGTCAAAATGCAACATCAAAACGGACCAGGTCGACCTCCAACCCACGCTCCAAGGCCAGAGTCCCCACATCCACCATATCCCCAGCCCTACCAGGCACACCGTCCCACCACCCATCGACCCGCACCGCCCCTCTTTCGCCTGTTAGAATGATTTCGAGGTTCCTATCTACCTACCTGCCTACACACGCACACACAGACACAACTCTTGCAACCCCCTCTCATGCAAACCCTCTTTTCCCCCCCTTTTTCTCGGGCCCCCAGTACACCTCGCTCACCTCCCCGTTCAGCAGCCCCACATCCAGACGACGCAGATTGTCAGATCGGCAACACAGCCGAAGAGCGGATTCCAAGTCCTAAAAGCTCAATCCAAGGGCGGGGAGGGTGCGGGTGCGGGCGAGGGAGAAAGGACGGATGTGGTCAGGGGAGGGGAATACGAGTAATACGACAGATTATTCAAGAGAGCTTCGGGCACAACCTCGACATTTTTGGGTTTTTTAAAGTTTTGTTGAAGAGTTTTTGCGAAGAACCCTGCTTGCCGTTTATTATAACCATAATGCCAAACCCCTATCTCAGTGCATAATGCTTCAGTCCGTACAGTGTACTGCAGTATGCCGTATCCTGGCCGTATTTTTTCACGGGATCTGACCACAGACCGGTACTTTTTTTCTGTAGTCGTCACGCAACACATGTGGACCTTTATTCAGGTCGGTATTCTGCATTCACGGCGAGCACGATGCCTTCCCACTACTACTTACTTTAGGACATCCATCCAATGTACGATGTACGACTATGTACTACAATGTACGATGTATGTGTAACCTAGCAGGCTGTCAGGCTAAAGTGGAATGGACTGCCCTCTTCCAACAGACGCTCTGGATGTATTCCCTCATGGGCCCCATCTGGATCTGGATCTGGATCTGGATCTGGATCTGAGATACGAGAATGTGCTCGTTCTGAATATGCAGTGTCGAGGGAGCCCTGGCGGGCAGGCAGGCAGGCAGGTGCATGTATCGCGATGATGATGAATGCCACTTATCCACCTTAACAGTTTTTATTATATGCTGCGGTGGCGGTCAGTCAGGGGGCTGACAGGGCGGGTGCTGACTTCTTCAAGACAGGAAGCGTGGGGCCAGAAAAAGCTGTTTAGGTGCTGTAAACGATGATACCGTTAATGACGATGCTGTTGCGAAGCGATATATACACATACATGCACACGCACACGCACGCATACATACACAAAAGACATGACAGACCAAAACAGAGCATGCACGACCATCGCCGTTAAGCAACCGGCGCCACCGTGTAACTGCTGTATCAACCAACTAACCAACTAACCAACCTGCGGTACGCCGGTTACGGCGGCAAAGTCGTTGGAGGTTCCCATTGGCATAAGGCCCACTGCGATGTCGCGTGGGGCTTTGACCTTTGTGCATCGCAGGTAACGATGGCCGTAGGGGGGGTGGGGGGGAGATGATGCGATTGGAGTAGGTGGGTGGGTGGGTTGGGTGATGGGGCATTTCGTCGGGGGGGGGGAATAATGGGCCGGAAGTAATCACAGAACATGTAACAAACAGAAAACGTACGTACAGGGTTTTTTCCTTTGTGTGTTGTGTGCCGTGTGTTGTGTGCCGTGTGTTGTGTGCCGTGTGGGGTGTGCCGTGTGTGGTGCAATGAGCTACATTTACCTTGAAACGTACTACACCACCTGACTACCTGACTAAAGCTCAACCATCAAAGTAGCGCGCGGCGCGGCGTGTAAGATATAGAAATAGACCGCTCACGAACCCTAATTTTACGGATCGTCTTCCAACAACGATATCGTACCGCAAGAACGGGACGAGCATCGTATCAGATTACGACTCCAGGAATAAAGATTTTGCAGTAGGTGGGCCGCATATATAATGATATATAATAGGGTTTGGCACCACTGGTAAGGCGCGACCATTGCCCCCGGGAGATTCCGGGATCGATACTCGTTTGGGTCAAAGTCCGTCCGATGGTGGAAGGTAAAGTGCCTAGTGGATGGACGGTGGTGACCTGGGTTAATGTTAACCTGCGAGCCGACCAGGAATGTTGTTGCGCCGCTATCGACCCGACAGATTCCATTGAATGCTGGTGGTGGGTGCGGAACCTGAGCGATCCACTGAGAAGTTGACTAGGGTGACTGGATGAGGGTGCGCCGAAATACCCGCGGGGAAGGCAGGGTTTCGCAGGGTAGCTGCCACGGGCGAAGATACACCCCCCTGTTTCACACATCATAATGAGCAACTTAGAGAGAGGTGTGTTTAGAGACCAGACACATTTTAAAAGCCCTCCGTCCTTGCTGCCCCCCCCCCTCATCTCAGGCTTTCACGGACATCCCCCCCCCCGCATGTGTGTGTGCGTAACTTGTAACTTGCAAATTGCAACTGGTAGCTTTAAAAACAAGTATCACTATACTAGCAGTATTTGTTTGGGGTTCAAGACCCTACCGCCGGTGCAGCCCCTTTGTTTTGTCGCTGCCACTCCTTTGTTTTGTCGCTGCCGCTGCTTTGTTAAGTTTAAAATCAGACTATCCCAATCAATCAAATGGTGGTTGCACCCACCCGCCACCGTATACAGGTAGGGTTTGATTGGACCCACCATCACTGCGTCGTACCCCACTCGCCACCCCCCAAACACCCACATTCCACGCATCCAATCCCACCCACCATCATCGCTCAACATCCATTAAGAAAATGAAAGTACTTTAGGCCGCGCCTCACCTCTCACCTCTCACCTTGATCAGCGCCGCCACCACCTCGTTCAAGGTGCCATCTCCCCCCGCCGCCACAACGGTGTCTGCGGAGCGCGCCTTGACGATATCCTGGCGACAGGATGGAGATAGGAAGACAGGAAAAGGATGATGTACGAGAAGCAGCACGGATAGGAGGGAGAGGAGGATAGGAGGGAGAGGAGGGAGTCGTGAACACAAAAAGTACGGTAAGACGAACCATTGGAAGGCGAGTGAAGCTGATTCCAGGGGTAGACGGATAGTCCAGAGGGAGAAAAGGGGATAAGGGGATACAAAAAAGGCGTGGTGGTTGATCCGAAAGAAAAGGAGGAGAGCGTAGAAAAGAGGTGTTTCCGGGCATTGCAGGGTACGGCAGCGTACGGCAGGGTACGAACATGACGACGAGTCGCAAAAGACACATCCTGGCGGATATCGACCCTCCTGCACCGGTCCGGTTCAGGGCAGCAAAGGCATCTGTTATAGACGAAATTGCGGGGATAATAATTTAAAAGACTCAATGAATCAAACTCTGCCGTACCAACTGCCCAACTGCTGAAGGGCGGGTGGGCGGGTGGGCGGGAAAAACACTCCCAGACCCCCCGGGAAGCGTTTGGGAAAGATGTACGGATCCGACGGCTGGTCGGAGCCCAAGCTCCTCCAAACCCCCCAAACTTCGTTCTCTGGTATTCCTTTTGAAGTGGGTTTATGTGTGCGTTTCTACCTTGATATCCACAGGTAAGAGATTTTGCTGCCGTACTTTTGCTGCCGTACTTCTAAGTTCTATCGCGCACCTTGACAAACCTCTCCACATCGCCGCTCTCCCAGGTCACCTTGACATCCACACGCACCCCCTCCGAGCGAAGAGCCGCCACCGCTGCTCGTACATCAGCCTCGTCAGCCCGCTTGCCGTGCAGAATGACGCTGAGCCTGCGAAGGCTGTCGGAGCTCACGCCGCCCTCCCCGGCGTGGGCCGCTGCCGCTGCCGCTGCCGCTGGTGCGGTGGCGGTGGTGTCCAGCGCCGTTGTGGAGGCGGAGGCGGAGGCGGATCTGGCCCCGCAGGGCGCCCCCGCTGGCTCCAGTGAACGGCGGTAGTTGGGATCAGTTGCCGGGGGCCCGACGGCCGTTGCGGAGATCATAATCGGCGATGTGGGTCGTCTCGTCCCTTGAATTGGTTGGAATAGGTTGTAGAAAAAAGGGGCCAGGATTAAATTGAACCGGAGAAACGGAGTACAACGGAGGGAAGATTTCGTGGATGGTTGTGGTGCAAGTGACAGGGGCAGGAAATGTGACGCGCGGTGGCATGATGCAAGGTGTTGATGACAGCGAGAAGAGAACTGATGAGGGCTCTTGAATTGATATTCCGCCGAGGGTCTTTTTTGCAAAGCGAAGCTCGACGGAAAGTGGGGACTCAAACGAAATAAATGGAAAGGCCAGCGGAGCCATGTATTAGTATGGCGTGCAATTCCGTGCAATTAGGTATTCACGCGCGCGTGTGCGATACCGCTTGTTGAAAATGAGATATGCGTGTTTCGGAAGTGGAGAGAGAAAAGTCGATTAAGAAAACGTCGGCGCGGATTCGCTGCTCTTCTTGGAGCTGTAAGGTCAGCGAGCCGATTAGTAAAAAGGCAAAATAAGAATGGTGGGGAAATTTTCTGTTTATCGCGCTGTATGGCAAAGCGTCGGAGGATGCGTTAGGAGTGGCAGCTTTTGAGCAGCAGGCCGTGCGCGAGCTCGGAGATGAACTAAAGGGCCCGCAAAAAACAAAACTGTCGGAAAGAAGCCGGTCAACAACTTTCAACCGGCTCCAGCGTCCAGACTCATCTCACCTGTCCTTGAATTAGTAAAACACCGCTGCCGCTGCTGAGCGGAAAAAGATGTGTGCGCTCCTATCTGCATCACTGGTGTTCGTTAGCTTGTGTGTATTGGAGCTGATAGTTGCGCCATCAGCACAGCTGTACGAGCTGCAGCGGTCCGAGGATGTCGGTGCGTCACCAAGCCGCTCCGGAACCCATAAAAAATCAACTGTCTGACCGCTTGCACAAGCTCGCAGGTACATGAAAAGAAAGATGGCGCGTTTCGCAGACACGAGTGGATAGATTCATTCTCTGCCTAACAATGGCATCGCTGCAAGGACGCGATGAACGCCTGTCAGGCCACGTCCAATAGCGACAGTCGAGCTCCTCCAATTTTGTATGCAGGTATCCACGTTGACCGTTCAGCATATCCTCCTGACGATCTGTATACCCAACTTTGCTTTTCCATAAAGAGTTCAACCGCTATTAGTTCATGCGGAAACTTAAAATAACTCGGAACGTTATGCAGCTTAGGCAGGCTTTGCAGGCCACGTAAATATTTGGTCAACATGGCCCAAACCAAAAGCCGCCGGCCTGAACAATATCCATAAGCCCAGCTCCTGGCGAAAGAGTTTTCCGTAATGCCTCCGTTCTGCCCTCAGGCTCAATGCTTCATCGCAATGCCTCACGACTCTCAACCAAATAGTCGAGGACGTCAAGTGCGGATTTTGAATTGCTTTTGCACCACTTACGAGCAGCCCTTCACGGCTGATCAATGATGAACTACGGACATTCCATCGTTTATGGTTTCATTTACGGTGGGAAAATGAACAAAAAGAGATTTGGTGGCGTCTTGCGGTTGATGGGGTGCCTATGTTAGGAAATTCCCATCTTAGGATGTCGCGCCCAACGATATGTGGTTGTGGAGGTTATCCAATAGGTTCAGTGGGAGGTGTATCCCCTCGCTATCATCATTTCTGGGCCTGTCCGGTGGCACAGGCAATAGCAGATCAACTTACTCTTTCAATAGGATTGCCAGTCTCAAGGGAGCAACTTTGGCTTATCCAAGCCCCACAATCAGTGCAACAATGTGTTTGGGATGTTGTGGCTCTTGCTGCGGTGTCAGCCATGGAGCATGGGAGACGTTATATGGCTGCAAACATGAAAACCAACCCGGCACTGTTACCTGGTCCTTCCCTTACGGAAGAAGCAATTTGTCGAGTTATTATTGATTTTTGGGGCCGCATTCAGGGTTTCGCAGCTTTAGGAATTCCACGAAAAGGTTGGGAATCCGTTGGCGCACATCACCCCTTTTTGAGGATTATATCTGGCAAATTGATTTGTTCGCGAGAGCGGTTACCGATGAGAGGTTAATTATCTGAGATGATAATCTTTTGGTATATTAGTCTCTACTGCAGTGCACGGCCAGCTGGCCCGATGGCTCTACTCTTCGGGAGTCTGGAGCCCACTGTAACAACCACACACACACACACGACGGGCTGTGGTTCGAGAACTTAGCCCGTTTCCATTCTTTCGAAAATACATCCGTTTGGGATTTCATCCCTCCAATCCGAGCCTTCTTCGAGCCTCTACCATCAAAGCCATCACCACCGTGCGGCATGGCCACTGGCTCCCTTCCGCCTCTCACGTTCACTTCCAATCCCGCTCGTGTTAATCACAATAACAATATCTTACATTCTTTAGTTCTTTTTTTAACTAAAGAATGTAAATATTGTTATTGTGATGAAAAAAGAAAGAGTCCAAAACAGAAAGAGTCCAGCTGCCAAACCAATAAAGAAACCCGCTCCGCCCGGATTCCCCACAGTCGCTTCCAGTGTCAACTTCATTGTCAAAGAAACAAAACAAATATGAACACACAAACCAACGCAACACGCAAAGACCCATAGGAAAGCACACCCGTCCACACCCGCCACAGCATCCTTTCAACTTGCCATTCACTCGCATGCACATTTCCTGAGAGGAAAAAAACAAAAAACGCCACACATCGCGTGCGTTTTTATTACTTTCATCCCCCCATCGCTCACTCACACTCGGGGATAGTGCCATCTCCCATAATAGCATCCCCCCCCCCCCACTTTCGTAGTCGATCCGGGGCCGGAGCCGGATGCTGGACTTGGGGAGATTTTTCACCTCTTCTCCCCCTCCCCGTCCCCCGTCCCCCTCCCCCTCCCTCACCCCATCTATACATCACACCCCCAGTCCCTCCGGTCGACCCAATCGCTTGTGCAGGTAGTTCATGACGGCATCCTCAACCCAGCGCTGCCTGAACACCTCCGTGCGCCGCTCCAGTTCGTAGTCCCGACCGCTACCCTGACGTGCCATGCGCACGTCACGAGCCTGAACAGGAACAGGAACAGGAACAGGAACAGGACCACCAAAAACAGGACCGGATGATTTAATAAAGAGCGGGAAAGATGAATGAGGGCGCCGACACCAAGGCGTGGAAAAGAGTGGAAAAGATGGCGGAGAGCAGGGGTGTATACATATGAACAGAAAATGCGGGTATAGGAATTTAGGGGCTTTCCTATTTGAATTGATGATAGAAAAGAACCGTCGAGAGCCCGGTAATGCCCTCCTCTCTCCCTCCTCCTCCTCCTCCACCTCCTCCTCCCTGCCATGCCCTCCTCTCTCCCTCTCCCTCTCCCCTCCTCCTCCACCTCCTCGCCTCCTCCACCGCAAACCCGCCTGTGCCGCCAGCAGCGCGTACGTCACATCCACGGGGCTGTGAGCGAAGGCCAACAGCAGAGCCCGCCGCCGGCGACACTCGTTCAGGCGGCGAATGAGGTTAGCCAGCTTAGCGTCCATACCCTCAATCTGGGTGGGTGGGTGGGGGGAGCGAAGGGGGGCGGGGGAAGCGAGGGTCTTCTTTAGGGGATCTTGGATTAGATATGGGAATGTAGGCGAGGGGAAATATCATATATCATGTGCAGAGAGCAACGAACCCACTGCGTGCACATCAAAGCTTCAAGACAGACTGCTGCTGCTGCTGCTGCTGCTGCTGTTGTTGTTGTTACTGATAACGGCTGCGCTAATGCCTGTGATGATTCCACTCCTGCTGCTGCCTCTGCCCACCCCAACCCCTTTCCTGGCACCGACGGTTTTTTCAGTTAATTCGTTGCTTCTAGCCCTTCCCTCCGGCCCCCTTTGAAAAAGCCGCCTGGCCAGTATCCGTCTATTCCCTGGACTATATCCGTCTATCCATCCCGGGTATCATCTTCCTCAGTCTGTGGTTCGTCTTTCCCCTCCCTTCCTCCCCGTTACCCCCTCTGTTATACCACGACTTCCAGAAAAGTACCGATCGGCGAATGCAGATCCCGTGATGCAGATCCCCTACAGGAGACTACATCCTCCCTCCCCTACCATGCACACTCTCTTTTCTTAGCAACAGCTTCACTCGTTCGTGGTTCGTCTTTCCCCCCTCCCCCTCCCCTACAACCGCAACCCCCCTCCCGCCCCCACATCGCACTCGCACGGACCTCCTTCTCCTTGTAATAACCCTGAAGCACTGACGCCATCTGGTGAGCGTGAGGGGAAGGCTGGAAGAAGTCCATGTCGTACAGCTCCAGGGGGAGATAGCCACTCACAGTCGGGGATCCCCGGGGGCCGAAACCCGGGTGGTGTGCGTGTGCGTGTGAATGGGAATGTGAATGAGAGTGTGAGGATAGCTTCAGGTCATCAAGCCTACGAAGGGTGAGGGGGGGGGGGAAAGATACACATTATTAATAATAATTGAGGGTGCGGGGTCGAGGGAGGGAGGAATTATTCCTCAGGAACACACAACCAAGTGCAAACAGCCAATTCCACATCGCGCGGGGAATCGAACCATGGACTTTAAATGAAAGCAAGGAAAAATAGAAAAAAGGAGGATTAACTGCCGGTGTCCAACTGCCAAACGGACCCCAACGGTAAAAACGCCCACATGGCAGAAGTGAAAATGGGAAGAGCGAGATGATAACGGTGAAAATGATGATGAAAAAGAGCGGGGGGCGGGACGTTGGGTAATGAAGCTTAGGGCTTTTCCTAAATTAAAGTTTTGTCGAAGCATAATTTGATTTTGCCTTGTCCAAGAGGACTTTTGAGGTGTGCTTGTGCAGTCCCATTATCGTACTGTATGTATGTCCATAGCATTTCTTCCCCCCAAACACACACCCCTTTCCCGATTCCCCGCGTTTGAACCGCTTCCTATACCATCCTGCCGTACGTACGTACTTGATGTTGTACTCAATTCGTACAGGTGGTACCGGCTGCAGCAACCCGCTGAGCCGACCCCCCAGGTCCGACAGTTTGAGTGTACGGCAGCCAAACACCTGCAAGGCACACACGACCCCGGGGCGGGGAGAGATCTATCACCACCAATACTATCACCGCCACTTCCTACCAGCACCACTTCCCATCACCGCCACTTGCTATCACCGCCATTACTACCATCACAACCACACACACCACCATGACTATCACCGCCAGCAGTTTGCAGCTCTGTGCAGTGAGAGGAAGAACACAAGCAGGAAGTTACTGGCCGCACCACAGTCATTCGCCCCTGTCACACGCCGTACACCTACCCGCCGTACAACTTAACCATCCACCCACCCATCCCCCACTACGCAATACCCCCCAACCTCACCCCCCCCACACACACACTTATTGGCTAACCCCTCTCCCCCCCCTCTCCCCCCCCCTTGGAGCGGCCAACCACCGACCCAGCCACCTGCGCCAGCTCCGGAGTCAGCTTGACGTTGATGGGGTTCTTAGGGTCCTGTAGGTATTGTACGACATACACACACGTTCCCTCATATTGCGGTGCACATTAGAAAAACACGAGGAGTCGAGGAGAGGGGAGGGAGCTGGACATGTAAAGCGAATGAGTGACTGGGTGCGAGCACCGAAAGGGGGGGAAGTGGGGAAGGGGGGGGAAATGGTGAGTTTGAGCAGCTGGGACACACACCGCATCTGTCCAACACCCCCTAATTGAACATACATACATATATACATACATATATACATACATGCATACGCATGTAGTGCACTATCCTATGCTTCCTGAACATGGACGCGAAAGCGCTAATCAGGGTTTATGCCACACGTAACGCCAACAATCGTACACGGTTTGCCGTACACCGCACCTGCAGTCTGCGGCTCTTGATGAAGCCGTACAGTGCCACCATGATGCGCGATCGTGTTTCATGGGCCATCATCCCCAGCACCTCCGCGAGAAGAGGGGGGAGAACGTACCTGCCCGCCAGCAAAAACACACACGCGCACGTGCTTGTATGTACGTGCTTGTATGCACATGCATATTCAAATTCAAAAACATGTATGTACGTACGTATGTATGTACAAACATATATGACTCGTATGGACGTGTTGTTGCCCTTAAGCCGAGCTGTCGGTTACAATTTTAGTTGTGGTTTAAACGGAGTTGGTTGGGTGGCAATAGCAACGACTACCATGTACCGCCACAAAAATACCAGCGGGCAATCGAATGATCTTTGGATGTCGTTTCCGTACAAGTCATGTCCGTACAATTTGTTACTGTGTTAACCCCTCTCCCCTCCCCTCTTTATCCATACCCCCCTAAACACCAACAACACATGCCTGGCCCCCCGCCCCTACCCCCCGCCCTACCTACCTTTCCGGCTGGTAATCGGGCCAGAGCAGTACGGTGGCCTTGCATGTACGACTGCCCTGCCGCCGTACTTCAATAGCCTCACGCTGGGGCCCTGGGCCGGCGGGTGCGGAGGAAACAAAATGCAAAACCACATCAGAACTGATGCCGTACACTGACGCCACGAGAGTGAGAGAGTGAGGGGGATACAAAGATAATAGAAGTTAGGCACTATTGGTAAGGCACGGACCATTGCCCCCGGGAGATCCCGGGATCGAGACCTGTCAGGGTCGAAAATCCTTCCGATGGTGGAAGGTATTGCGCCCCTAGTTGATGGACGGTGGTGACCTGGGATAAAGTTAACCTGCGAGCCGACCAGGAATGGAGTTGGGCCGCTGTCGACCCGGCAGATTCCGTTGGATGCTGGTGGTGGGTGCGGAACCTGAGCGCGATCCACTGAGAAGTTGACTAGGGTGACTGGATGAGGGTGCCCTGAAATACGAGGGAAGGCAGGGTTTCGCAGGGTAGCTGCCACGGGTAAAGATATACCCCCCTGTTTCACACATCATAATAGAAGTTACCGAAGCCGCTATGTCATCGCTACGTCATCAGCTGCCGTACGATTCCAAAAAGCATCAACAAAACCCTGAGAAGAAAAAGCCCTGAAAACACCTTACCCGTATGATTGCCCTTGTCCCAGGCCACCCGCCCCAGCTCCCCAGGGTAAAGATCCGGATCCAGAACCACCTCCACTCGCCGCATTACCGCCGTGAACAAGGTATGCCGCGTCGCGCCCGACGCCGCCGCCGCCTGCTGCTGGGCGATATGCTGCGCAGCCAGCTGCTGCGCCTGCAGCAGCAACGTGGCGGAGCTAGGATCGCCGCGCGCCGCCGCCGCAGCGGCAGCCGCCAGTGCTGCTCGTACAAGCTGATCCGCAGGATCCACGAGATGCCCCGAAACCGTTAAAACCCAACTGGGGGGTTCCGGCGCGGGGTGTTTTTGGGGGGAGGCGGGGGAGGGGCCGGCGAACATGGCGGCGCTGGCGGCGGCGAGGGCAGCGGCGTTGGTTTGTACGGCAGGCGGCGGGGTCGGGGCTTTGGGTGGAGCTGGCTGATGGGCGTACGAAGCCTGAAAGATGCGGTAACATGTTAACGGTTAGTGGTTAGCGGTTGGGACGACGGGGAGATGGCCGCGTGTGTAGAAGTTGGCCAGGTAGGAGAACAACCTCCTCCTGGTCACTCTGTCGTACCTGTACGGCGATGCGCAGTACGCGCTTAACGGGCTCGTGGTACGGCGGGAAAGGCTCCTTAAAGTCGGCCTTCCGGCGGCTGATCATGTCAGTTACCAAACTGTCCATTTCCAGCAGCTGGTTGTACAGCGGTGATTCCGGGATGGCGGTTGAGACCTGGCGGTTGTGGCGGTTGGTGTGCCGTACATCAGAACGGTTGCTGGTTAGTCGCGAAGCTAGGTTTGCCCACTTGCGCTGGAAATCGGTTGCTTTGCCGAGATCCGCTGTTGCAAACGTCTTCCCCGAACATCATCCTACATCTCGGTTTGTATATTTTAATGAATGTCTGAATCGCGAGGAGGGAGATAGCGATGATGGCCTTTACCTACCTGTATGCATGTATTTCTGTATATATATGTATGTATTTCTGTATGCTTTCACCAACAAACAACTTTCACCAACGGTCCATGGCTCCCCCCCTTTGACGGACCCCTCCACACGCACCTGTTGGGACACTGTAACTATCTATATCTATATCTATATCTATATCTATATCTATATAGACTGTATGCAGGGAACCTGTGTTGGGGAATCTTCCCCAGACCCCCGCAAAACCCATTATGCCACAGTTCACCACGTCGTACCGCAATTATTGAGGGCCAACCCGCCTACACTAACAAGGCAAGAGCTGCTAGGGAAGCCCCAACACGGTCAACACGCGTCTTTGCCGTACACAGGCCCTTTCCCAGGCCGTCATTGGGGGCATGTATGCTCCCTGCGTGTTGAGGGTTTTCACCCCTCACCCGCCCCTCCTCCTCCGCGTCTTTGGGACCATTTCCCCCCCCCTGATCCTTCCCTTCGCCTTTCCGGGCGTCGCTTTCATGAACGAGCAAGTGGCCCATCTGAAACGGCTGATCCGAACCAAGAGGACGTCCCTTCTTTCTCTTCTTCTTTTAAAGGACTCCTGGACAGATTTCCTCCCCCCAATAGATTTCACCCTCCCCCCAGTCGCTATAGGCGCCAACGGAAGGGTCTCATAGCCGACGGACAGAGACCCTCGCAGCTGCTGTCTGCTGTGGTAGTGCTTGAAAGGGGCTGGCTGGATGGCTTCGGCGGATTCCGCTTCCACGGAAAGTTATGCGAGAGCGCACCTTCTCCTGGACTGCCGTTTTCTCTTGGCCGAATTTGCGCTTCTTTTGACGAGGAGCTCCCGGCGCGGTGGTGGCCATCGGCCGTGCGGCATTCGCGGCAACCGTGCCTGGTGCCAAGGCGCCTACGCCTACGGCAGGCTGCGCAGGTGCTGCAACCGTTGACGTGGGCGCCACCACTACCATTTGGGCTGCCACGCCGGAGCCCTGTCCCGCGACGCCGGAAGAATGGTCTATTCAAGTGGCCAGTGCAAACTTTATATCGTGGCTAACCTTTTAAATTGACCCACCGTTTGTTGGAGAGGCAGAGCTCCATACTGGACCGCAGCTAGCTGCTGGGTGCCAGGTATCTGCACCTGCATTCTAGCACTGTCCTTTTTAGGATTGTAGACAGCTGCACGTCAACCCATGTTAACAAATGCTTCTTATCAGAGAAATCTCAACGAGGCCAATGGTTTGTCGTCTGAGGCTTGGATACTAGGAACGCATGCTCGGCCACCGCTCCGAAAATGGTTCCTTACGGTAGCATGTCAAGCAAAGTAGTACTTCATAGCTTCATTACTGAGATGAAAATTTCACACCGGTATAATGGGAGCATCCTGGGCGAGCATGTCGTCGAGACATGTTAAGGGAGGGAAAGGCTTCGAAATCGTTGGTCAGACGGTGGCTCTTACCCAACACTGGAAATAAGTAAAACTTTTAAGCTTGTGGAACGTGCCCTTGTCACATGTACAACTCGTGTACTTATTCGTCTAGGAGCTGCATGCCAATAGCACCCTTAGCCAACAGACAGCTGGCTTTAAGGGAACCGCCTTGGTTCGCCTCCCTTACAATGCCATCAAGTATCACGCGCCGATAGTAGACCTGTCACGCTCATAGAGGAATGCTCGCCGTTGACAGGACGCGGGGACCACAACAAGGCGCGGATTACACGTCGCTACGCTGGCCACCGCTCTTTTACCAAGTTTCCAAGTTTTTAAATCCAACGTTGTGTGGGCACCAACTCTGTACCCTCTTCTTTCAAGGTCAAGGAGGTTTAAGGCGTTTGGCTTTCTGTTTGGTGGCACGGTTGGCAAAGCAGCCGCCTCGCTTAGCAAGTCTTGGCTAGCAACCCAGTGCAACGCTAGTCACCCACTTCAGGCCCCCTTAGCCAACTACCAAAACGAGCAAGGCGGGGCAACAAAACGGCGCAGTTCCAACCTATGACTAGTCGCTCGGAAAGGAGTGGTTGGGCCGGCATGTGGGTTGATGGATAACAGTGCGGGCAATGCCCCACCAGCTGTTGAAGGTCCCTGTGGTGGTTCACGAGTTCATGTACCCGCGCGGGCGTCGGGTTTCGGCACCTTCCTGGCCGGCTTGCGCTCACGCTCTTGGGTAATTTGGCTTCAGCTGACGTCAGGTTTGTCCGGAGGTGCTTTGTTTGTTTGGGTTTAGGGCTTGTTTGCGTGGTGTCGTTTCCATGGCCAGGCACCCAGGAATTACACGTTAATGCACGTTTGCCGTGAAAATAAGGTTGTATTGATGGCCTCAATTGTTTAAACATATGGGAGTTTGGTCTAGTGGCATGATTCTCGCTTCGGGTGCGAGAGGTCGTGGGTTCGATTCCCGCAACTCCCCCATGCATCTTTTTTCATGCCCCACCGCTAATCTGCGGTCACTTCCGAGCCTCGAGTATTAGCCTTCCGTGCCTTTCTTGGACCATTCATAGTGATATGAAAAGAACGACGGCGTCTTCTTGCGCCGCGCTGATGCCATCGCAATCACAACGACATTACTTCCCATTCATCCTGGCGTTTTCGTTTCTAAGCACGTCATAGGTCAAGCAGCTGAAGCGCTTCTCATATTCCCCGCACACCCTACCTAGTTAATGGTGTTTCACACGACTCAACGGCGGGCTGCCGTTTTCATCTGTGTCGAGTGGAAGCCAAGCTGGCTGCCCGACAGGACGTGCGCGAAAAAATAAGGCTGGGCGCTCCGGCCCCTGATGTGAGCATGTGTATCCATGGAGGCTGTGGAGTAGCATCCCCTGGAGAGTTGGCTCTTGAGCAGGGCAGGGCAGCATTTACAGGCCTATCTCCCTTTCATAAACCCAGAAATGAAAAGCTACGCCAAACCATGGTGGTGAGGGTGATGAGGGATGGGGGAGCTCCATCTTAGAGTCATCTCCTCCATCACTAGTAGGTGTGTGTTAAACCGCACATACCGTACATGGAGCGTTAGATTCCTGAGTACCACAGTTCCATGTTACATACTATTTCTTACATCTGGTCCCAAACGGATGATACGATTTTCTGTCTAATTTCTCCGTTTCCGCTTGGCGCGGTTGATGGAAAGTATTCGCTGGAGCTAACTGTTTTCTAAGTGCATATCTTGCCGCCGTTTTGCCATTAATTCTATGGCTCCAACCCCTGGGTCCGACGGCGCGCGGGACGCTGTCCCAGATGCCTGCAGGTGTGAGTCCAAACTTGCAGCATAAGTATGGGGGCAGGGGTTGTAGGACAAAAGGGTAAAATTGGGACACAAATCCCCCTGGCTCATGGAGTGCGCTCCATCATACATGGTGTATGAAAAGCACAGGTCAACGGTGCGTCATTCCAGGACTTTGCTTGCCACGTCATCTCGGAACTGGCTGTACGACTCATGAGATGGCTGCATCCCCGCTATTTAAGCAGGCAAGACCCTCCCAATTGGTGTCTTCCGACGTCACCATCCAGTTGTGGTTTGGTTAGATATAACAAGCTTAACCACCCTGTAACAACATCAACAAGTTGATGGGAGTAAGATGTCGTGCTGCATTAAAGGATATGCTTGAGGAACGTTGCTTCGGTGTTTCAGAAGGTTCACGAGGGTGCGTCCTGATATGAATAAAAGCTCAAACAGGCTGTCTGATGTGTTGCAGAGCAAAAGAGGATGGAGGTGCCACCTGCAACTGAACATAAGGGAAAAAACAAATCATCCACAAATTGTAATGTCCGGAGTATACACATGTGCATATGCCATATGTGCATACCGTGTGTTTACTCAACATGTGTCCAGGGAGATATAGACTTCGTTCACAGGGTTTTAGGGTTTTGATAGCTATTAAACTCCGGATGGACAGCCAGCACCCAGTCATGATGGATACGCCTACTCCGTACCCCCTGTCATATGTGTGTGTGTGTTTTACATGGTCGTGGGGGTGCGTTCCCCGTACCTGCAAACCGCCCTAATACGAGCCGAGGGCTCAAGGGCTCCCAGATTATCGCCTATACGCGCCATGGTGGATGTGTCACCATCATCCATCCATCCATCCATCCATCCACGTGGTGATAGGTGCTCATGTGGCCCACATATCGTGGCCATGCGTGTATGGTTGGCACGGCGCCAACCATTCAGCCATCAGCTGCTCGGATAAACAAGTTCAAATTGCAGCAGCTGCTCGGATGCTTGGAGTTGGAATAATGTACGACTCTATCTGCTGATGGATATCTACTAGCAATAACAACAAGGTCCAGGTTCAGATTCACCATCAACTATGTCCTCAACTCCACATCTCAGCAGCTAGCCATAATCTCACGCTCCCGACAATGTCGGGGGTCTCCCCAGGAATCGAATCCAGGACCTTAAACTGTATAGGACGGTAGTGCATGTACGTACCATCATACGCGGTCTTTCTGGTAGGGGGTATTCAACAGGTACGTATAATGATATTCGTGCTGAAGAGGGATTCGATCATCAACAGAGCATGTTGGAGGCCATGCAATGGGAACCCGCACGTCTGGCGAGGATATTGGAATGTATGTGGGCTCACCGAAACTCAATTACCCCCTTTAGACGCTAGTCTGGGCTGATGTGCGGTGTTTTCCTTTCCTCCGTGGCTTTTAGGCGTTGTAGTATTACCTTGTATTCACTTGTGTGCGGAACTTGTACCTTGTAACTAGTATTACCCTTGGGCCCTCGGCTCGTATGGGTAGTCTTACAGGTATGGGGTCACGCACCCCCAACCATGTAACACACACACGCATAACACGTCTTCGTCGCAATTAAGCCCGTGAAATTTTACGGGTGCTGTGCATTACGGCTTGGGGGATTACGGGTCAAGACCTTGTGATTACGGGTAATGTAACCTGTGGATGACTTCCAGCACGGGCAACCAACAAAATGTCACCTATGTTCTTCCTTGTATAAGGAATGCTTTGGCAACTTAAAAATAAGCATGTTTACAAATTTTCTTGGCCGGTAATTACATGTGAAGACCACGTGATTACGGGTAAACATGAATTTACGGGTGAAAACCTTTCCCAGAGTGTACGACACGCAACTAGCACGCAAGACACACAGCTATCACATTTACACAGTGAAAAATAATGATTTCACATGAGACAACAAGTGCCGCAACGGTAACCATCAGGATTAAACGCGCGCATCATCGATCAAATGTTAGGCCTCCCACCATGCGTACTTCATTTAATATAGCTTTGATTCATCAGCATTCTATCGTTCCGTTCCATTCCGGTGATGACTGAAAATGAAGACACATGTCTTTTCATGTATCAGATATCCAGCAGGTACAGCAGGTGCTGCAGGTACAGCATACAACTGCCGCTTCCTAATTAGGAGTTTCCCCTCAACTTGGAAATGGACGGACAAGACAACCCGCCTTCCCAGAGTGAACATACAACAAATCGCAATAATGCCGCCACCAGCTGCCAGCAGCCAGGAGCATTGAGCGCGATGAATGGACCAGCAACCGGAATATTACTTCCTGCCGTCTGCTTTCTTGTTTGGGAACACGCGGCTTTGTTTGGATTGCAGTTGTGCAACACAAGCACACGCACGCACACACGGCCATACATGCACAAACACACATGCATGCTGGATATGCGGAACATCCACCCACTCACTCATCCATTTACACTACATTACACACACACACACGGGGCCATACACACAATCTACATGTAACTAGACTAAACAGCGCTCCCCATCGATCCCACCCAACAGCACAACCGACCACCACATAGAAATCGGTTCTCAATAAATAATAACAACGGACTCCACCTCACAGCCTCAGTCTCTGGGATTATCCCATGTATAACGTAAATACAACGCCCATGTAATGATGAAAGTCATTGAGGAGTGCTGCCAAAATGTACTAGCATACAAAACAATTGCACAAGGCTGCGAGCAGTAAGCGGCCGGACAACAACAACAACATCTATCTGAAAGCCTGCTGCTGTCTACCGCCCCTCTATTCATGGAGACGGGGGCTACCGCCCCTCTATTCATGGAGACGGGGGGCCACCGGCCGGGCCCTTCCATACTGCTACATCCTCCTTATCAGCAGCAACCTGATGTCATGCCAACCATTCCTGCTGCCTGCAGGCACCTCAGGCATCACATCACATCACATCGCATCTGGATGCTCATCAGCAGCGGCCAACTCGAGCACCGCAGCTAGCTACCAGCCTAATAATGCTACACGACAGGTAAGACACACACGCACGCACACACCATTACTACTACTCTAGAGAAATCTCGCTCGCCAACGGTAAGCGTGTGCAGCCTGATGCCCTGCGCACCAAACACTATTTGAAGAACGTCGTCCTTTCCCTCACACCATGTTGGATCGTACACATATCGTACACTTATAAGGTACAGCAGCTGTGTACAGCTATACCTATGAGCCCACAGTCTTGGATATGTTGGCGGCCATAACGGCTTCAACAGCACTGTACCATCTCATCCACGCATCCGGATATACCATCGGTCCGGTCCTTAAAAATGAAGTGATGTTCGTAATGTTCGTAATGTTCGTAATGAAGTGATGTATGTATGTATATATACTACGTTGCTTGCTCGCTGGGAGAGGGCAATGCTGTGCCATTAAAATCGCGCCGGGGAGGGCGAGTGGAGGACGACTCTGCCGCCTCCACATCCCCTACCACCACAAGACGGCGACCCAAGCAGAACTCCAATCCGTCGGGCATAAAGATGATGGCGTCCGGCGGCTGTGGAAGGTGCAGGCTACTGCGGCTGCCACTGCTACTGCCCATCACTGCTGCCATCCGGGATGTGGTGATCACCGTTGTTGGCGTTATCACTACGGCAGTAGTACTGCTGTTGCTGTTGCTGGACCCCCGACGGCTGGCGGTCGTCGTCATACCCAGCACTCCAGGCGACATCGTCCTCCTACCTCCATCGCCAGCATCTTCTGCTGCTGCTGCTGTCATGGTAGTGGTGGTGGTGGAGGTGGAGGTGTGTGGAAAGGAGGAAATGGCGAACGACGGCTGCTGCCCTCCTTGTCTGTTGCTTCCGCCATTACTACTACTGCTGCGACGACTACCGCCGCCATTGCCGTTCTCCACTTCTTCCGCTACAGTGGCGGCGCCACCGCTGGCCAGTAGTGATACCGCCATCTCCACATCGATCCTTGGTCTGAGGACCCCATCGGCAGTGGTCGATACAGCAGTACCACTAGCAGTAGCAGCAGCAGCAGCACTGCCACCGCCACTACCACTACCAGCAGCAGCAGAAGTGATAAATGCAGAGGGCAGTTGGTGGTGATGACCTGATGATTCACAGCCATGTACGTCCACGCACCATTTGACACCGCCATGAGCGTCGAACTCCATCTTAAACAGCGGCGGTACGGCGGTACGGTAACTGCCGGCGGTAGCGGCTGCGGCAGTGATGGCGTTGTCAGTGCCGTCCTGGCGGCCATGTCCTGGCGGCGGGGGCTGCCGGTTGTGGTGCCGCCGTTGCGATCCACCGCCGCCGCCGGCAGCTGCTGTCGATACAGTTACTACAGCTGCTGCTTGGCCGCCTGTCGTCGTGATGCTACTGCCGGTCAGTGCCGCTGCCGCTGGCGCTGCCGCTACCGCCGCCGCAGCGGCAGCACTGGTGTCTGGCGGCATACCTGGCGATGACGTCGTCGTGTGGCTGCGCGCACTGGCGGGGACCCTCCTGAGATGCCGTACACGACGGAGGAAGAGCACCACAGCTGCGAGCCCAAGTAGCGATCCAAAGGCCGCAATGACACCTAAGGCTCGAGTAACAAACAAAGAAACAAACAAACAAACAAACAAAGGATGAAACAATTTTAAATATAAATGTCCGGATATGCAGATGGTACGGAAGCATGGATGGCCGGGCGGATGGACGCCTATCCATGAAGATATATGCTTGCTGTCCCAATGTATGTATGTATGTATGTATGTATGTATGTATGTATGTATGTATGTATGTATGTATGTATGAATGCCGGCCCGCTGGGTGCTTAGTTGCTGCAGCTGGTCGTTCCATTACACATCTTCTGTTTGCACCCGAGGGGCCGATCTGCTGGGTGCTGGGTAAGGTGAAGGGAGAGGTAGAGGTAAGACCATGTGCGAGAAAGTGAGGGAGGTGAGGGAGGTGAGGGAAGTGAGGGAATCCGCCGGTGTCCCAAGTGGCTGTCCGAAACTGTTCCCAGGGGGTCAGTCCTAAGCGGTGTCATGTGATGCCATGTGGCTGGGAAGAGGGGGAAAGAACGACTGCTGCGGCGTCACTCATATCCATCCATTAATTCATTCATCATTCCTTTATTCGTCGGCAGAAGTGGATACACCTATGGCTCGTATGCATCTTCAAATTAAGAAGATGCAAGCCCGAAGGATTAATGTAACGCCTGGTAAAAGTGCAGTCGCAAATGATGAGAAATAATGGAAAACCCTAACATCAAATAAAAACGCTAATATTCAGTAAAAAATAATATCCGGTCATATTTAAGCCCGCGTGAACTACCGAACATTAAAACGTATTGCGTTGCCAGCTGCTGCTGCTGCTACTGCTACTGCTGGCGTGTCCACCTTGACCCCAGCCCACCTTTAAATACGTTGTGGACAACTAGCAGCGAGTCGTCTTGCTGCTTGCCGTTGCCGTTGCTATTGCCGTTGCTGCTGTCGCAGTTCTCCCGGGGCCTACAGACCCTGTTTATGTGGGTGCCTTCGACGAAGGTGGAGTTGGGTTGAAGAAGAGGAAACGTGTACCGTGTATCGCCACACAACCTGGGCGGACGCATCGGCGGTCGGTTGGCTCAGTTCGTTGGTTCAGTTCGTTGGTTCAGTTCGTTGCTTTTGCCATGACCAGCGAGGTTGGTATTTTATTGACTTGGAGTAATCAAGCCTCCACCACCGGTTCTCTGCTGCGTGCGTGCGTGCTTGCGAGCAAAATTAAAAATATAAAACTGGAAATGCAAAAAATATATATATATATATATGTGTGTGTGTGTGCGTGCATGTACATATGTACGTTCTCCTCACGCACTCACTCGCAAGCTCCTCTCAAGTCCAGCTTCCGCAGCTGCTGCAGGTTCTCCCAGCTGTACGGCAAATCACCAGTGAGATCTGGATTGTCCCGCAGTACGAGCTCCTGAAGTCCGGTCAGCTCAGACAGACTCCCGGGAAGCACACCTACGCAGCAGCAGCAGCAAACCCCAGACCGGCAGCAGTAGCAACAGCGGTAACGGTTACGGCAGTAGCAGCATGGGGCAGCAGCAGCAGCAGCAGCAGCAGGAGAATCAGAAGCGTGTTACCAGTGTTGATCGCGCCGCAATGCAATCGCCACGCAAAGCACCACACAGCTTTATCCTCCTCTGAGCTACCGAACTACCTGTACCTGAGAATTGGTTGTGAGCCAGGTCGAGGACCCGCAGCTTGGGGACCGCGGCCCAGTCGTACGGCAGGGAGCCTTGGAGGCCGCAGTTACTCATGTTCAAAACCTGGGGGGACAGGCAGTAGTAGTAGTAGTAGTAGTACGGCAATGTGTGTCAACCAACGGGCGCACACAGGGTCGGACGTATATTCGAGCATGCATACACGCATACATACATTCGTACATATATACACATACATATATACATACATACACACTTGTGCTGTGTGCTCCCGACCCTTGCACAGTGTTTCGGCTTCGGCCCCCGGCTACATACATACATGTGCATACATACAAACACACGGTCACGGTCACCATCAGGAGCTTACGTTATGTAAACAGGTGTATGTATGTATGTATGTATGTATGTATGTGCGGATTAAAACATACGTACAACAGCCGAACCCAGGCATGATACGTGTGCGAAAACCCTCCGAACGAGCCGACGAAAAAGAAAACGAATGTTCGGAGAGGGCATGCTTGGAGAGAGAGAGAGTGACAGTTAGATGGGGACAATCACAAGTCACAAATCCCCAAAGAAGCCGTCGCAGTGACACCCCCACCTCGCAAGTCTAGGAACCATATGGTAGAAGATTTATTCACACATGGCCCCTTAGCTCAGCTGGTTAGAGCGTGGTGCTAATACACTAATTCGGCACGCCAAGGTCATCTGTTCGATCCCGATAGGGGCCACGTCTTGTTAAAGAGACAGCACTATTATTTGTACCTCATTTGCGTATCGGTAGAAGGTTCTGAGTTCGATTTTCTAGATATGCCCTCGACATTGATCGGGAGTAATGTGTTTTACCGATTGTTGCTGAGAGGTGTGGAGATGAGGACGAGGACTAGCTTTGCATACTGATTTGGTGGCGACGGAGGACCTGTCTCTACGGATGTCGGGTGACTGGACGAGGTGGATATAGTCCATGGCCTCCCGGCTTTGACGGACCACCCTCATATGTACTTGTGCGGCCCTTTTGCGCCAACTTGTTACGGGGGGTATTATCTGCTGAACTCACACACAGCTAACTAGGTAGTTTACCGTTATTAGTAACATCATCATTACTATTAGTTTAGTATTGCAAATGTATACCGTACTACAATAACGGGTTGTAGGTGTCGTACCTCCAGCTTCGGCAGCGGCTCCCAAAACGGCAACGTCGTCAGGCCTCCCTTGAACTCGTCGTTGCCCGAGAGGTCCAAGGAGACGAGGTACGGCAGGTCTGGACCACGAACTGGCATGGACCCGCTGAGAGCGCCGTACACGCTGCTCCACGGGGAGCTCAAATTGCTGCATGTATGTATGTATGTATTTATGTGTCATTACGCAGCAAGGATATGTAGGACATACACGTGCTAGTGTGTATGGACGGAACTGCAAGTGGGATAATGTGGATGGTGTTAGGGCATGCGATGAGCAGCAACAGCAGCCGCAACAGCAGCAATAGCAGCACAGCGAAATGCATCAGAAAAGGCTGCAAGGCGCACATGCACATGCGCAAACGCATAACCCTAAGCCCCCAAACCCCTTTAACTTCTCTCCAAACCCGGACCAACGCCCAAATCGAGCCTTACATCAACATGTAGAACTTTCAATTCTGGACAAAAGTACATTTTTGTTTCACTTGATTTTGGACTTGGTTAGCCTATGGTTCCATGGACTTCCCTCCCCCCTGCCGTACTCATCCCGACAAATACTCGTACACACCACCGTACAAACCACCGTACACACCACCGAGCGTGCACTTACATAGCCACAATGCGGCCCCCCGAACAGGACACCCAACTCCACTTGCACTTCCACAAAGATGAGGAAGAGGATGAAGAAGAGGAAGAAGAAGAGGAAGAAGGAAAGCTGCTGCTGCTGCTGGTAGAGGTTGGCCGATTAATACCACTTCCACTGCTGGTGGCGCCCGCAGCTGCAGCCCTAGGCTGCGGACCGCAAGTGCCGCCACCACCACCACCACCAGCAGACGGAGGGTAGCTAGAAGCCGAGGCTGTACTAGGAGGGGGAACAGGCTGGCAGGCCGGGCCCGAGGGTAACATCATAAATAGCTTCCAGATCGATGCACGGTCCGAGCCAAGGAGAGAGCGCAGCAGCCTTTCCGCTGATGCATCGTCTTGAGGGTTCAGAAGTGTTGGGGGGGAGATGGGGGGAAGGGTGTCAACGTACGGGAGGGGGTTGACACTGGGGTAAGGGCGGGAGGGCACACGTACGTACGTATGTACGTATGTACGCTGCTGTCGCGGTTGGGAAAAAGTAGGTTGTGGTGTCGCGGTTTGGGGGGGAGAGGCCCTCAAGGACAGATCCGTGTGTGCGCCAGGGGTTGTGTAAAGAGGTGGGAGATAAAGAGGAAAACCTAAACTTTCATGATAGACACACATACATACATACATGTGGCTGCGTAGTGTGTTGGCAGTCTGAGTCGGGGTCGGGAGCACACAAGACTAACCGACTTGTGCTGTGTGCTCCCGACCCTTGCACTGTGTTTCGGCTTCGTTCGGCCCCCGGCTCTCGCGGCCCACAGTGTAATCTAAGTCATACATACATACATACATACATACATGTGCACATTCATATATACATATCGAAGGCGTGGTGGCGCTCAGGGGCAGGTAGGATGCAAGGGAACATGCAGGGCATCAGCAGCGCAAGCAAGAGTGCAGAAATAGAAGCAGCGTCCGATGGATGTCCCGTGGGGGGATGTCCCGTGGGGGGTTGGGTTAGGCAAGGCAAACGGGTAGCGAGCAAGAAAGGGCTGAAGGACGCGGAAGACGTGTCGAGGACGGAGGGGGTCTACTTGGGAAGGGCAGCTACGCAGGTTCGCTCAATGAACTAAAGGGGAAGAACAAGAAGGGGAAAACAAAGGGGATGGGTAACAAAGGGGGATGACAAACCCTTTAGGGGAGCCCAAAAAGAGACCAAAGGTTGTCCCCTTTGGGGGGGGGGGATCCGAAGAGGGGGGACACCAAACTTGACGAAGAATGTTGTCATCCCCCTTTGGTTCCCCTTTAGGGGATGAACTAAAGGTAATGGGGGCCCTTCATACCCTTCGGTAACGGTCCTTGGCCTGAGTGTAGAGTGCGTGGCCCTGCCGACTCTGCACTTGCCTTCCAGTAACATGTGAAGTTTCATACAAGTAAGGATTGTTATCAGCCGCAATATTTGGGTCGGCGACGGCCCATTTCTCCGTATGAAGTTTCAATTGTACCGAATCCAGCTTTCCGAGTAAACCTCGCGGGCTTTAGAATTGGGCTCGAACACCACAGAGCGACCGAATGTGCACAAGCAAAGCCCCCGAAGCGTACCTAATCCGGCTCCTGGCGGTGGCGGTGGTGGTGGCGAAGGCGAAGGCGGAGACGGCGAGGGTGGTCGTGGAGGAGCACGAACAGGCGGTGGCCTTGCATGGGATATTAATCCATATGTAACTGGAAAACGACCGAGGAGACAGGAGACAAAAGCTAGCAGGAGGCTTGCACGCATCTGGGAATCTCTAAATGAACCCGTCTCAAAGTCCTCCGTTGAAGGTCACGTTTGCGAGGGCATTGATGTCACATGTTATGCCGGTCGCTGTTGAGCTTGCCTAGCTGTCGCTAATCGGGCTCTCTCTTCGCCCTACCCGAAGCTGTCCTTGAGTCATTTTCAAACTGCTGCGCGCCAGTACTCATACATAGTGTAATAGGGGCATCTTATTAATAATGTTCCAAGCTATCTGCGTTGGAGCTCTGTATGAAGCGTGTGGGTGCGGATAGATCTGTTGGCGGGAAGCATTAATCATATTCGCCAAACCGCATGTTAAATTGTATCCACATTCATTATGTTCGTTAGTGTTTGCATAAAGCGGCATTCATTAAGACTGTTATCATTGTTTGATCTGCTCCTTAGAGGGTATTTCTGTTGGCTGGTTGTAAGTTTTCGTAAGTTTTCCTTAGGGCCGGCCGGGTCCGCCGCACGTCCTTTCTTGGGATTTCTAGCACCAACTGATAATATATATGTAAAGGAACGTGTGTATGTAATTTTTACAGCGCGAAGAACCCCGTGCGAGAAGGGAAAGGGAAACTTCCGTATCTTTTCCATAACCCTTGCTAAGGAATTCTTAGAGGGTCTTTCCATTGGCTGGCCGTAAAATTCGTAAATTTTCCTTAGGGCCGGCCGGGTCCGCCGCACCTCCTTTCTTGGGATTTCTTGCACCAACTGCTAAGGAATTCTTAGCTAGTACATGCTCCCGACTATGTATTAAATTTTCAACCTCGCATATACTCTTCACATTCCTGTCAGCTGAATAGGCATATAATTGGTGCGTTGACCAGTGCAGTCCACAGCGCTAGGAAGCGACAGACGCCTGCTACGCAAAACCGGCGAGTGCCATTTCCTCGTCAATGTCCTTCCAAGGAACTCCTGCTGAGTACTTTGGAACTCATATGAACGACGAGGCTCGCTTGAGACAGCTTCGCGTACAGCATGGCCATGTGAACCTCGAGTCGGGTCAACACGCCTCGCGTTTGCCGGAGTACCACCACGAATTGCATCATTCACAACTGTCGTATGGAGGCCTTAACCAGATCGCGTACCAGCACAACTCTGCGCCTTTGCCGATGGTGCCCATGGGGCCCATCGGACCCAGCACTTTCACGCTAGGGCCCCACACAGCAGCCACCTTTGGCGTTGTGGGGCCTATGTCACAGCAGGTGTGGGGTCCTGCCATCTACAGTGCGCGCCAGGGCTTATTGCCCGGCTTTGCTGTGACGTGCACTGACCCCCGTCTCCCTCTCCCCTGCAGCTGATGAGCTCCCAGCAGCACCAGGGGGCCCCAATGCTGGGCTCCTTGGAGGGTCAGCAGCACGTGACGCCTCTCCCTCCTTGCGCCACGGTCCGGGGCGCGAGCTTGTCCCCCTTTACCGTCGGGTCGCTCTCTCAGCAGTCCAGCAACCACTCGCAACCCTCACTGTCGCAGCCTGGTGCCGCAGGCGCAGTCCACCCTCGCGGCCCAGCAGGTGCAGGGGTGGCTCCCGGACCCGGCAAGCGTGGTAGCCGGGGTGGAGAGTCTGGCCCCAGCTACACGCCCTCAGCCGCGGCCGTGGCCTTTGCTGATACCGGCAAGCCAGCCAAACGGCATCGCAGCAAGAACTGGGAGGAGCCCGAGCTCAAGCTTCTCGGGTGCCTCATGTCAGACATTTGGAATACGTGCAACGCCACGCACGTCGCTTTCAGGCCCACCGGCAGGAAGGTCAGAGCCATGATTGCGGAGCAGGCGCAGCAGTTTTTTTTTTGCGGAATATATTCCGAATTCGGAATAAAAAAATGTTCGCGGTCCTGGAAATTAAGAATGTTCCGACCGTACAAGTTCATTCCTCCAGCCAAAATTGGACTGTCCACGATACCTCCGCCGGGCACTTGAAGGCCGTCAATGCAGCTCAGCTTCGGGAGGGGGAACTGGCACTGCAGAAGCTAAAGATGCCGAGCCTGGCGCAGCTCTTCGCGTAGTAGATCAGTGCTTGAGTAGGGGCTAACTGGTTTGTGTTTGCTTGGGCTCTGCAACAACAGTCACCCGTGCAGCGTCCAAGTGCGCGCCGCTTCCTGGCGTGCAAGAGACACCTCTATGGAGAGATTGTGGTGTGCGCGTGTTGCGATATTCCCCAAACCCTGTGTTTGTACAAACTAAACAAAACCTCATTGGGGGGGGTCTGGGGGGGCGTAGCCCCCCCCAGCGCCTGACAGATTCGGAATACTTTTATTCCCGCGACTAAAACCCTATTCCTCCGTTCGGACTGGAAAATTATCGGGCAAAAATGAAAAAAAAAACACTGAGGCGCAGTCACATGGGCTCGGCCACCGCGGCGTGCAGAACCTGCAGAAGAAGGCAGCCGAGATGCTGGACTGCGCCAGGACGGTATGTCGGTCGGCCGCCACCATCTTTCACGCGCCTGGCGGCAAGGCTGGAATGTGTAGGTCGTAGTGAGACTCCAGCTTTCCTGGGGATGCAGGTGGCCAAGTACATGCACAAGAAGGCGGGCTTCAACTCCCGCACCATCTGGCAGCACGAGAAACGCGACATAATCATCAAGAAACTTGAGCTCCCGCCCTGGTTCACGGAGACGGTGGGTTGGGGGTGTTGTCCACGCTCGTGTGAACGCCACTTGCTCTGTGTTTTTTGCCGTGACGCCCGCTCCCCCTCGTCGCCCCGCATCTATCCGTCTCCCCACTCGTGTCTCGTGCCGTGCAGGTGTGGAAGAGCATCGAGGAGGTCGCCACTCGCTGGCCAAGGTCCAACCCGACCGCGCACTACCACATCTTCGACGCGCAGGACAAGCGCAGCGCGGAGCTCGTGACCGGGGCACAGCAGGGCGCGGGCATAGAGGGTGAGACGGACAGCGGCGATGGCACGGAGGAGGAGGAGGGTGAAGGGGGTTACGAGGACAGGGGTGTGACCGACGATGAAGCCGGGGAGGATGGGGATGTCGAGGAGGAGGAGGAGCGAGAGGGGGAAGAACCGGGGAAGGAGCAGGGGGGCAGCGATGCCGACGAATTTTTCGAACGCACGCTGGATGAGGCAATCGCGGAAATGAGTGGGCAGGCGCGGGAGGGCCGGTGCATGAAGGGGAAGGGCGGCAAGGGGGCCGGTGGCGTGAACGAGAGCAGGCCGCGGGCGGGGGCAGGAGCAGGTGGGGGCAGGGCTTCGAAAATCGCGACGGAGGGGGCCGGCGGGAAGGGGAAAGAGGCGGGTGCGCGGGGTGGCGGAAAGGGGAAGGTGACGTGCGGGCGAGCGGGTGATGCCGAGCCCTTTCCCAGCACCAAGCTCTCCGCCGGTAAGCGCACCGGCAAGGTGCGCGGGCCAAAGATGGCGCCCGTGCAGTCCGCAAAGCACAGATATGCTTCGGTTGCTAATTCCACAACATCGCCTCTATCTGGGCAGCCGGCCCTGAAGGTGCTGGTGCTTGGAGCACCTGCTAACAATCACCATACGAAACATCTAGACACCCGGCTGCCATGGGTAACCGCAGCCACATCATTCCCATTAGCACGAGCGAGCTGTGGCCTCTGCGCACACGGGCCCCCCGCTCTCCCCACTTACCAGCCCCTCACGCTATGTAATCCAAGGAGGTCAGGGAGCGGCCGGGTCAGTTACATGTAAAAGTTGTCCAACCCGCATGCCCTGTCCTCTACAACAAAAACAAACCCGGGATCACTGCAAGCCCCTTTCCATGCTGATCTCTGATAGTACACTTCCTGTGTGCATGTAGACGCAAAAGGTAAAAGGACTGTACCGCGCGCAGCTTTTTCTGGGGCGCTGTGGTGCCCCAAAATTATTTTCTAGGATAAATTATTGGCCCCTCTGCAGCCGGAGAAAACGAGTAGCTGATCTCAGGTTGCCTTCCACCAACCGCCAGTCATATCGGTTAGTATCAACGGTTGTTCCTTAACTGTGTCCCATGGAACATACACTTGTCCCAGTCACTATCCTCGATGTTGTTTCTTTGCGTTTAAATCCTGCGAACATGTCACACAGCTCACTTACTTCTGGTGTGTACTATTTCCGCTGCAGCAGTCGTTGTCCGATTGGTGCCCTCAACCTACCGGTGGACGTAATATAGCAATAAATTCCAAACACGAAATGAGTCAGCTACTGCGCTCCTGCTCATCGATGCACTCCTGCATGCTGCGACCACGCCATCGCTTCAAACCCTCTTGCTGGAAACAACCCCCAGTCGCGCGGTTTCGTTACATCTCTGCAATTGAGAACAAAGTGGGTACATCAGGTCGCGCTATCCACCTTGGTGCCATCGGCAGCCGAGCAATCAGCAGCGCGGTCGCGAGTTGGAGCAGCACCACCAGCAGTCTCGCTGCCAGCAACAGCAGCTGCAGCAGCAGAAGCATCGGGGGACCTTCCATGCGGTCCATAGCCGTAAGAGTGGGACTTGGGACAACGCCGCAGAGGCCCATCGAGCCAGGAAACGGGTAAGCGCTTCGAAATCGGACGTGGCGTGACACCACTGACACGCCACTGTGGCGGTTGCAGGGTTGGGAGAGGTATGGCATGGGTACACAAACCCAGGTAGAGACCATACGACCCGGTTGAGACCATACGTACAGCAGCTGGTGTGTGTGTGAATTCGGACGGGCCGTGGGTCGCTGCTGATGGCTGAGTGTACGTGAGGGTGTACCATATCCTGCAGGCCATTGTTGTCGGTCGATTTCCCGGGGCAGTTCTCCGCTTGCCCGCTTTCCAATTCTGCCTCCGTGGGCCCCTCCCCCTTCTGGCGTTGACGAAGGTTTGTCACGTTGGGGAGCTATGTGCACCACGAGGTCGAGGTGAAGAAATCTAAGTGAGTGCAATGCCGCCGCTGCGCTCTCATTTTGCACGGGGTTATGTTCTTCTTCTTATTGTGCCTTTTTTTATAAAACGAAACTAAAAACGAAACCCAAAACGAAACCTAAAACTGAAATCCAAAACTGAAGCCCTATTAAGTTAAGCCAAGCCAATACACAAAAGAAGCCAAATAACGTGTACGCCTTTTCCCTCCTTCTCCTCCTCCCGGCAGGTTCGTGGTTCACGCCTGGCCCGTGACCAGCCCTTCGGAAGCGCTCTCCCTCATTCACTCCACCTCCGACCCGTCAGCGTCCCACAACTGCTTCGCTTACCGTGTGGGCGCCGAGTTCCGTTCCTCCGACGATGGCGAGCCGGGCGGGACCGCGGGCCGCCCCATACTGGCGGCCATAGACAGCCAGGGGCTGGACCACGTGGCTGTGTTAGTTACGCGGTGGGTTGGGGTTTGGGTGGTTTCGGAGGAACGTGAAAAGGCCCCGCCCGGCAGGTTTAGGGGCCAGGTAAAGGGGGGCCGGAAAGGAGGGGAGGAGTTGCGCGTTTGGAAAATGTGCGATGGGATGCAGTTGTTTTGTTTTGAAGGTGGAATTTTTACAAGGCAAAAAGAGAGCCGCAGGGCCGTATGGGCTATATGTATGTAGGTGACTTGATTGCAGAGCTGGGCTGGGAACCAGCCGGCAGTCCACGACTTAGACGCTACTGCCGATGGGGCTGCCGCTGCCGCTGCCGCCACCGCTGCTAATACATCAAATGCACTGTGTGCCACTCTGGACTTTGGACTCCAATTTGCACCACCAGCATTAATACGAGCACCACCACCTCGCGCTCTCCCACATGGCGGGGTGGGTCTCCACAGCCACCCTACGACAAACATTGAATATCTTGCAGCAACAGCCGACCGGAATGTATCGCGCTCATTCAAAAACCATTTCGACACTACCGTCCTGCTCGCCGTGCTCCATCTTTTACAGGTACTTTGGCGGCATTAAATTGGGGCCGGGAGGGCTTGTACGGGCGTACGGCGGTGCAGCCAAGGAGTGTTTGCGGCAGGGAATGTGGATCGTCAAGAAGACGCGGGTGAGGGTGAGGGTGAGGGGGGTTTGGGATATGGAGGTTTGTAGGGCTCGGAGGCGACGGGCTGTGTTCAAGGAGGCAAGGATGGGGGGACACGGCATGTCCCGTCCTTGGCAATGGCCTACTTGCCCTTCCTGGTACATTCCAGAAGTCCTGTAAATGGTGGATGCGTCTTTTGGGCACATATGGGCTTCTTGCGTCGGGTGGGCCGGCCGGGGTAGTTCTTGTCCTGGTGATGTGTTAGTTGGGGGTTAGGTGAGTTGCAAGTATAAGTTTGGAGAGCGCTACTGGGGCTGAGAACTGTGGTCATGAACTGATGGCTCTCGTGGTGTTGTCGTGACCTGCACTTTCTGCTCCGGTCACGACCGTCTGGCCCCTCCTTGCATCACAGGCGGCGGTGGTGGTGGAGGTATCGTACGATGAGCTGGGTGTCGTCTATGGTTGCCTGGACATGCATGGCTGCAAGCGGGTTGCGGAAGAGTTTGGCAGCTCCGGAACAGTGGAGATTCGAGCGATGGTGGACGCGGATCGACTGGAGGCGCTGAAGTCAGCGGTAGCGGACGTAACTGGGGGACGGAGGCGCGTGGAGCTGGCACCTCCTGCGGGGGACCTGGCCGCGACTGCAGCAGCCGATAGTTGACAGCCAGGGCTAGCACCGTCGGTGTGCGGGACAGCATGTGTAGCTTCAATCAATTTCGACAAACAACATTTCACGTCGTCGCTGCGACTGCTGCGACTGTTGCAACATGTAATTCAATCTTGCGTGCATGTGGGAAGTTTGCGCCTTTGGTATGTATATAGCAACTGGAAATGTGGATTATAGAGGACGATGGAGTTGATGGATTCTTGAGGCTTGTCTGTGAGATGCCCGGGTTTTCGACAGGTCTTCGTACTACAATTTAGCTGACTAGCAGTTTTCCCAGAACATGTTGATGATTGATTGAATTTTTCCAAGTCCTCTTCATGTAGACTTTTATTATTAGGGAAGGCTTGGCATGAACTTGATAGTCGACAAGCCGGACATCCAATCCATGACCCGCGGGAGCACCTCATAACTCCAAGAGCTTCCAGTATTAGATACCTGTAACGTCTTATTATGGGTTCCAGGGATGCCAGCCCTTCGCGACCGGGCACATCGGGCGGCAAGGTGCTCCGCGGACGCAGCGATGCACTGGTCAGCGTCGCCAACAGGCTTCGTAGCCCCATGTACATCAGCGACAGGGCTCTGCCACCCGAGGATGTCACAGTCAACACGATCGAGGTGCGAGCCTGAGGCGCGCTGCGTCCCGCGGCCAGGGGCGCGCACACCCCCTGCTTGCTGCTGCACGCGCATCCCCTCAAACTTAACCCGACCCCCTTCCCTCGCACCTTTGGTCAGCACCTAAGGGAATCCTTATATATCAACACCGTGTTATCTTTAGGCTCATGCCAGGCTTGCATCCTGCCCGTAATCAGAAGGGGCAACAGAGCGACGCCGACGGCCAAAGAGTCTCTCCTCTCCCTCTCCCTTTACAAGTCTCGCGGTTACTTAGAGCTGCCCGCCAAAGCCCCTCCCCTTACGTCGCCTTTTTGATTTTATTTTGGATTTGTCTTTCGCGCCGCAGTCGAATTCGCGTCTAGTAGTCCAAAGCCCCGAAAAGCCCGGCGTGCTCGTTCAGCCCGTTCAGGAAAGTGTCCTCCCTGTTTGTCTTTTGTGCTTAAAACACTGCGCCGCGCGCTCCAGTTTAAGCCCTGCAAGACCGTCCCAGCGAACCCCTTCCCTCATCTCTTTCACCGGCATACATCACAAGGGCCGCAACACTAACGATGGCGGCGTCCCATATCTGGGCTTTTCGCTTTCCCCCCGGCCCCGGGTATTTCCAATCATGATCCCTCGTCCCATCTGGGTTTCTCGTCCATCTGGGTTTCTCGTCCCATCTGGGTTTCTCGTCTCTCGTCCCATTTGGGTTTCTCGTCCCATATGGGTTTCTCATCCCATGTCGGTCACTCGAGACCGCTTTTATTACCTTTCACTTCATTTCACCTCAAACCACCTCTCCTCAACCCACATGGACCCTAAAGTCGTGATGCTGCACTCACAACCCGAACACACACACACACACACACACGCACATGCACCTGGCAACACACGCGCACATGCACCTGGCAACACGCGCGCATGTCGCAGCGGGTTACCTCCAACCAAACCTAAGCATGCCCATACTGCCAAAACATAATCAAAATTCAATAAAAGCCCGAAAGCCAAAAATTTAAATTCCCAAAATACCGGAACCACCGAATCCATGGTGCGCATATTGTGGACATGCAGGGCCTCCTCCGTATTCCCTCCCTGGCGTCGGGTCGTACGGAAGAGCAGCTGGTGGCGTCGTACTGTGGCGAGGATGGGCTGGTCATCGATCCGGACTTCCCGCCGGGCATAAGCTCCCTGTGAGTGTCTGTCTGTCTTGTCTGTCTGTCTGTATCCACGTGTTGTACTATCCTTGAGAGGATTTGGCCGCCTCAATTTGTTCGCATGTGCTCGGTACGTATTTATGTAGGTGTGCAAAAATATACCCAGCTCCGTTTCGATCTGTCGGTGGGAATAAATCGTGTTATTATTGATACCTAACTCTCTGGAGAAGATAAGCTTATCCCCCAAGTTATCATATGCATGTGTGTACGTGTGCATGTGTATGTGTGTACGTGTGTGTATGTGTGTACGCGTACGTGTACTTCCGTGGTAAATGTGTATGAACTTTTCTTCCGGGCCATTACCCCCCTCCCCCTTTACCCATACTCATCTCCAACAACTCCATCACGTACCCCTAAAACCCTCGACCATGCGACTCAACGCTCCGACCCCCCAAACACACCATCCCGGGCCCCCTCCGCAACCCTCCTCTCCGCATCCCTTCCTGCCCACCCGTTCCCCCCTCTACGTGTGGTTCGTCTTTCCCCCCCTCTACGTCCGGTACACTCTTGCCCTGGCAGCACCTTCACTCGTTCACGTGGTTCGTCTTTCCCCCCCTCCTGGAGCAGGTACCCCGACGTCAACCAGCCCCCCGCCTCCGCGCCCTCCAATGTGACGTGGCGCCGCGTGTCAGGCACCCTCTACTTCCCAACAGGAAAGACGCCACGGCTGTTGCAGGTACCTGCGAGTATCCCCTGTATGTATGTATGTATGTATGTATGTGTGATGTATGTATGTATGTATGTATGTATGTATGTATGTATGTATGTATGTATGTATGTATGTATGTATGTATGTGCGCGTGTGTCTGTTACATGCCGACCCCTGGCAAGGGGCACCCAACCGTACCCCAACGGGAACGCCCGCTGCAGCAATCCATTATTAAAGGGGCGTTCTTTTCATTGGTTAGAATCCTGACCATTCTCCCTCCTTGGCCAACTCAAGGGTTGATTGTCAACTCAAGCGTTGATAAAAAAGATCCGCTCAGCGCACTGAAGAAACTCAAGTGTGTAGACACTGGTGAATTGATCGAAGTGTCGATTGTAGATTCAACACTCCGATCTCTTTCACCTGGGAAACCAGCGGTTAGATCCGTACCCGCATCTTCCGTTACAGCTAAAGTTTGTCTCTGGGATTCGAACACGGGACTTGCTGATTATTTAGCCCGGTGTGAGCTACGGTGTGAGCTACGCCGGTGCGTTCATGGGTGCAGGTGCACCTTATGAAGAAGAGTGGGTGGGTGGGTGTGCATGTCCGTGCGTCGTCCCCTTCTGCATTCGCCCTCTCACAACCCCCGTTGCTCTGCAGCCGATGCAGTTTATGGTGCCTACCCCCACACCCGCCCCCAAACCCCAATTTCCGCCCCCCCCCGCGATATCTGGGATAGCCTGCGCGCGAGTCCTCCAGGGTTTCCTAGGGTTTCTTAGCCCTCGCCCACCTTGTTCTGTCCCCCTCCCTTTCCCTTGTAATTCTTGTATACTCTTTCCGTGGCAGCAGCTTCATGCGTTCACGCTTTCTCCTCCCTCCTCCTTCCATCCCGTTCTCCTCCCCCCTTTTCTCCTTCCCTCCCTCCTTCCCTCCCTCCCTCCCTCCCTCCCTCCCCACCCTTTCCCCCACCCTTCAGGGTGTGTTGGACTCGGGTGCCTTCCTCGGGGCACTGGCGGCAGTAGCAGCCTCGCGAGGTGGGGAGGTGCAACTGCCGCTGCTAATGCGGATGCTGCTGGTGATATTGATACTGCTACTTTTTGATGTTGGTACTATTACTGCCCATAAAAATTTGCTGACGCTGCTGCTGCAAACACGGCTGGCCTTTGCTTTACCCGTCCTCGCACACCACAAAGTGCACTGCATCGTGCTGTTGCAAATTGATGGATGCCGTACACTTACGCCGTACAAAAACACGATACCACACCACGCCAGGCACTCCCCCGGGAGACAAAACACGCCATTGGATATCCCTCGACTGCTAACCCCATTTCCCCCGCTTTTAACACACCCCTCTCCCCCCCGAATTCCCCCTTTTCGCGCACCCCAGGCGGGGAGCTGCTTTTGGACTTGATCGTTTCTGATGACGCCGCCCCCCACGGGGCCTACACATTTCAGTTCTTCAAGCACGGCTGCTGGCAGGCGGTGGTGGTGGACAACTACCTGCCGTGCGTGTCCGGGGAGGTGAGGACGGGGAGGGAGGGGGGAAGGGGACGGGGGTTTTGCGCCCGGAGAGGGGGGAGGGGGACGGTAGGGTTGCGCCCGGAGAGGGGGAGGGGACGGGGGGGTTGCGCCCGGAGAGGGGCGAAGACAAGGAGGAGGTGAAGAAAAAGCGGGGGAAGGGGAGGTGTAGGTGGGCAGGTTGGGGAAGCGGGACTTGCTCACGAGAACGACAAAACCGACGTGGACGAGTTTCGGACGTATACGTGTACATGCACGTGTAGGTGAACAAGCTGGCGGATGTCCAGGAGTTCGCGGGAACGATGTGTGCTTGTGCGAAAGGGGGTGGAAGGGATGAGAGGGTGGAACGGATGGAGATGGACTCGAGCGTCGGCCCTTTTTTTATCGAAATAGGGCCCTCCTGACTCAAACCGCGCATGTCCCACCCTCGGCTTGTGCTTTGGACGTCGGTAGTTGCTTGCTTCTGTTTGGACTTCTACACCATAGCACTCTTCCTTCCCAACGAGTGGAGAACATCCCCAACGCGTGGAGAGAGACACACAAACACAAACACATACACATTTCCCCCCCCCCCAATATATCCGTTTCTCTCCCTGCCTTCCCTGCCGCCCTTGCCTGCCATGTCTGTCTGCCCCTCAGGAGCGCCTGGCCTTCGCCTGCAGCGCAGTGGTGGGGGAGCTCTGGCCTAGCCTGCTGGAGAAGGCGTATGCAAAGGTGCCCGCGTGTGTGTGCGTGTATGCATGTGTGTCTGCATGTTTGTATGTATGTATGTCTGCATGTGCGTCTGTATATGGGAGCGTAATGGAAGCCGGTTTGGGAGTCCTCCTTGGGGGGGAATGGGAGGCGGGTGGGGGGAGTGATTCAAAAAGGGGGAAAGGTAGCGGGGGGGGCCGGCCGGGGGGGGGAAGTTGTGTTTTGCTCCCCTTCCCTCCCTTCCCTCCCTTCCCTCCGCCGCACTGGTTAGTTATTGCGTCCTTATTTCTGCACTATCACTCTATCCTTGGCATCAGCTTTTCACTCGTTCACGTGGTTCGTCTTCTCTCCCCGCCCCTCCGACTTCCCCACGGCGCGATGCATTCGAGCGTTGGGGCCCTATCCACCAGATGCACATACACACCCACACGTTCTTCTGCCTCTGAATTCCTGATACACTGTACATATATACATACATATATACATACATACATACATACATACATACATACACGTACGCAGGTGCACGGCAGTTATTACGCTCTGTCCGGCGGCTGTGTTCACGAGGCCCTGGTGGACTTGACAGGGGGTGTGGGTTTCAAGCTCAAGACGGACACGGGGGTGGCAGCGGCCGCGATAAGGGAGGGCTCCTTGTGGGCCGACATGCAGGTAAGGGTGTTTATGTGTGTTTATGTGCGTGTTTATGTGTATGTATGGGTTTATGTGTGTGTTTATGTGTGTGTTTATGTGTGTGTTTATGTGTGTGTTTATGTGCGTGTGTGTTTGTGTGTGTTTGTGTGTGTTTATGTGCGTGTTTATGTTTATGTGTGTATGTTGGGGGGAGGGGCTACGTAACTTCATTGTTTACGGGACGAAGTCATGGAGGGGCGGGGAAAGGGGAATGGAGGGTCATCGTACCCGTCTGCATTCGGTCTGTCTTTACAACAACAAACAATTTTTTTCCTGATCTCATCTCTAGTTAATTTCCCTTCCTCCGTCCTCAAGTCTTCGCATCCGCTTCTCCTCCTCTCCCGCAACCACCCGGCCTTGCTGCGTCCTGTGCTGTTGTCAGTCCTACTTCCCCTGTGCGGTTATTACTTGGGGTGAGCTATAGGGTATACTAGAACATTAGTTATTGTAGTTTCTAATTTACAATTAGAAACTACAAATAACTAATTTCCTATTTTCTATTTATTTTGGAAATATTTAATAAATTGTCCCCGCCGCCCCCTATTCCTCCTCCTCCCCGCCACCCAATGCGCACCATCATAGGGCCCCTAGAACCCGCCAATCCCCCTTCCGAGGGCTGTTGATACGTTTGCGAATGTCGGCCGTTGGTCTAATTTTATAAATGATTTGCATTTCACGTCATCATCATTATGATATTCGCCCCCCGCACATGCGCCGTGCATCCACCCCCCCCACCCCCCACCCCTCTCCCTCACCTCGAACCGCCCTTCAGAATTGGCTAGCTGCCAAGTCCATTATCGCGTGTGTGGCTCGCCGCAAAGGGCCCGCCAGAAACCGCTTCCGGCCAGGTATAACCTGATTAAAACGGTTAAGTGGTTGAGTTGGTTGGGGCAGTGGGGAAGTTCGTTGGGGACGGTTGGAGCGGTTGGTGTGGTTTTGCGTGTTGTGTATTGCTGCTGGGCGGGACGACAGCACGGGGTGGGGCCCCGGGGCTGATGAGGAGTTAGTAAATTATATCTGTGTCTGTGTGTCTGTCTGTATATTTGTGTGTATGTGGGATGTCCCTCACCCTCACCCGCACCCTCACCCTCACCCTCAACCCCCCGCCTGGCCACCCCTCAGACGCCCCCGCATCGCCCACGGGTGACGGGGAAGGCAACGGGGCCCCGCTGGCCGTCGATGACGCAGAGGGTGGTCCGTACGGCCTGCAGTACAACCAAGTCTATTCCGTACTTGAGGTCCGGGCCGTTGGCGAGTCCATTCAGTTGGTTCGGTTGCACTGCCCCTGGCCCAAGGGCATGTGGAACGGACCGTGGGCCCTGGTAAGGGAGTTGTGTACGTGTGCGTGTATGTGTGTGTGGGGAGGGAGGGAGGGAGGGAGAGGGGGAAGGCGGCGGGGGCCCGGAGTTCCATACCCACACATCTTCATCCGGCCGCCCCTCCTGTTCGGGTTACCAAGGTACACATACCCTGCACACTGCCCTTGGCAAGTGTAAAGCCCGGGCACGTGACGTAGTAGGCTTACAAACACACACACCGACATACATACATACATAGGCTCTACTTCGCCTGTTTCCAGTCCACGCGGTTCACACACCGGCGTTCCTTTCACTGCCTCCTTCCTCCCTCAACACGCACACACATACACACACACGCACACACTGCTGCCATCCCGGCCTCTCCTTTCCCTCCCCATCCTCTTTCCTTGGCAGCAGCTTCACGCGTTCATGGTTCGTCTTCCCCTCCTCATCCTCCCCCCCCATGCAGTTCACTTCCCACTTCCACTTCCCACTTCCCACTCGCATATGATTTCCCCCCTCCCTGCCTCACTCGTTCGTGGTTCGTCCTCCCCCCCCCCTCCCCACCCCCAGGGTTCCCCCCAGTGGGACATCCCCGCAGTCGCCTCGCACCTGGAGGCGTTCAGAGCCACCTGGGATGACGAGGCAACCTTCTGGATGCCGTTTGCAGATTTCGCCGCCATATTCAACAGAATCCACGTTTGCAGGTACGACGCAAACGTACGACACGCATAGTACAGCACCTTCGGCTGCTACGACGCCTCTCATCTCTTGAGGTCTTTTTATTAAATCTCGCGTGCGCCTCTTTACCAACCCATTCGATGACCAGACATGCGCGCAGACATGGCGGGCATGGCATGGCATGGCATGCACTAACAGCAGAAGCGATTATGATGATGGATGTCCCCGTACGACTCTTTTAAACCCAATCCTCCCGTTTTCCCCAACCTTATGTCCCCTCCCCTGACATACACACACACATCTCTTCCCAACCCCCGTTTCCCGTATTTTTCCCCCTCCCCACAAAAATAATCTTCCCCTGCGCCCGTGTGGGAAAACAACACACACACAAACACACACACACAAACACGCATTCACATGTTCGCAGGATGTTCCCCCCCTCATGGCACCAGCTAACTCTCCATTGCGGCTGGCAGGGCCCGTCAGCGGGTGGGCCGTACCACCTCCAGCCCCCCGACCCCGCATTTCCCGCCACCGGCGCCGCCCCCGCCGCCGACCGCTCCCCAAGCCCTACCTTTCCCGCCGGCGGCGGCGGCGGGGGCGGTAGCGCCGGCAGTAGCATCAGCGGCGCCGGGGAGCGTCCAAACGCCGCAAGCGCCGCCGCTGCCGTTAGCAGTACTTGGTGTTGCAATCCGCAATTCCGGCTAACTGTACGGAAGACGTGTGAGGTGGTGGTGTGTTTAGGGCAGCAAGATCCAACGGTGTCGTACAGGTCCCACGTGCCGAAGCGACACCGCAAACGGGCAATCGGGTTGCAGGTGCGTCTGTTTGTCTGTATATGTATGTATGTATGTGCGTACGTGTGTTCGGGGGAAGGCACTGGGGGTGGGAGGGCTAGGACCCGAGGACGTCAAGAAGGGGTTGGTGCGGGGTTTGGTGCGTGGGTTTTCTTTTCGAGCTGGTAAAGAGGAGACTAGCTGGCAAAGTGGGCCGCGCGATATCGCACGCAGGAAGAGCGCGTAGCTACCCTACGTCGACAACGTGCACGGGTTTTAGAGTAACGGATTGCCTCAACCTACGTACCCCCACACCCCTGCGGCCGCCTAGAAGGCGATTAGGGTACCAAAAAGAGTCCCCGCGGCGTTCACTTAGGGTTTTAGGGAGGGTTCACTTTGGTGCTTGCTCCACTACGGCGGCTGGCTGGCGATTCTTTGTCGCCCTTTGTCGCGACTGATGTTTCCCCTTCTTGACTTCGCACCATCGAATGATTCCGCTCCTTTTACCTTCACACTTCACACCTCACCCTCCCCCCTGCTCTCTATCTCTCTATCTCACACGCATACACACATACCCCTCTCAACCCGGGGGGCCCCCTCCCCAAACACCCAAACATCGTACGTTCGTTCGTACGTTCGTTCGTTCTCGAAGGTCCTCAAGGTCCCCCTGGAGGCGCTGGGTCGGCGGTGGGAGATCCGCCCTGGCGAGGTGGTGGCCTCCCTGCCGCTGTCCACGGGGCGGGAGGTGGTGGCCTCGTTCAGAGCGTCCCCCGACTTCGCATACGTGGTGGTACCCCATGCAGGGTGAGAGGGGGGGAGGGGGGGGCTTGGGGTGGTGGTGGCCCCAGGGGGGACCTGGGGGAAGATGCCGGGGGGGAAACCCTAAGGGGGGGAAGGAGGAGGAGTGTTCTATTTTGTGCGGGTGTGGGTCTTGGTGGGTTTGGCGGGAGGGGAAGGGTGGAGGGTAGGTTGGGTTTTGGAGTGTGCAATAGGGGGGAAGTATAATAGGGGGGTTGTGTAATAGGGGGACGTCTTGCCATAGGGGGCCCGGCCTTCCTTTATGTCACTTTCACTCCATTCCACCACGTACTTCCCTTCCTGGAAACTTCCCCCCCTCCCCCACGTGTACATTTGCCGCGGCACTTTTTCCTTTTGGCAGCAGCTTCACTCGCTCGGGGGGTTGGTCATTTCCCCCCCCCCCCCCCCACCACCTCCACCCCCCTCCCATTTCCATCTATCTGCTTCATTCGCCTTACAGTGGTTCGTCCTCACCCCCCTCACCCCCCCCCCACCCGTGTCCCCTTTCTCCCAACCCCCCGGCCCCCGCCCCGTCCAGTCGAGCTGGAGAGGAGGGCGCCTTCATCCTCCGCTCACTCAGCGCCTCCCCGCTGGAGGTGGAGCAGCTACCCGCGCCTTTGTGTCTGGTGGTGGGGGGTCAGTGGACGGGATACCTGACAGGTGGGTACGACACACTGCGCGTGTGTGTGTGTGTGTGTGTGTTTCTTTTGGCTCACGCGGTTAAAGCACCCTTCCCTCATCACCGTCCACCTCACTTGTCACTTCCACCCCGTAACTCTTCTCCCCCTCCAAAACCCACCAAAACCCCCAACCCCCTAACGACCTCCCCTCTAGGTGGCAACCGGCACTGCCCCCCATGGGGCTCGAACCCGCAGTACATGGTCAGCTGCAGCCAGAGAGCGCAGGTGCGGTGAAGGGGAGGGGTAGTCGGGGGAGGGGGTGCCTCTAGCAGGGAGGGGGGAATTTCCCGGGGAATTGTTTCGTGGCATTGTGGCGCTAGCTGGGATGAGGGGGGGAGGGGAGAGGGGAGAGGGAGGGGTTGCTAGGATGGTCGAGGGAGGGGGTGTTTTGTCTCCGTACCCACACCCACGCGGTCCGAAATCGCATGTAAGCTTACACGGTGGGCACTTTCAACACAACTCCTCCATTGCGAATTTGTCATCACATATATTTCCTTTTTCTGCATTTCATTCATATCACCTCCAGCGCCTGTTATCGTTTTGGCGTATTCTTTTTGACGTACGATGTTTTCCGGGCGATGTTCCCCCCTCGTTCTTCCTCCGCCCCGGGGGGCCCCCTCCCCCCCCCCCCCACACACACACACAAACACACACACAGGTAGTGGCCTCACTCACCCGGCTAGATCTCAAATACGCGCTCATTAAGGCCCCCCGAGATCCAGCGCTGGATCTGGATCTCGTTCTGGCGCACCCGGAGCAAGGTCCAGATGGTCCAGGCCGCCGTACTGCCGTACGGGATTCGGATCTTTTGGCGTCGGCTGCCCAGCAGCAGCTGCTGGGCAGCAACGAGGAGGTGGTTATGTCGGTTGTTTTGGAGCCGGAAACGCCGTACGTGCTGGTGCCGAGCATCGCCACGCCAGGTGGGGGAGGTGGGGGAGGTGGTTGGAGAGCGACGTAGGTGGGGCGGCCCGAGTGTTTGTGTCGTCTGCCGTGCGCGTGTGTGTTTTGCCAAGTACACCTGGAGAACCAACGTACCAAACGGTGCATTGTTTGTTTCATTTTTTCTTTTGTTTGTTGCTCCGGAAGCTTCGGTTGAGCTCGTAAGACTCCAGACGGGCCAGGAGGCTCATGGACCGTTAGGCTCATGGACCGTTAGGCTCATCAAACAGGAAAAACGGAAGAAAAGCAAAAAGGAAATCTGGTTTTATTTTGGAAAGGAGAAAGCAAGGAGAAAGCAAAATTTCAGGAGCTCAAAAGAAGAAAGGCATGGCTAATTTTTTCCACCTCCTGGCTTGTGAGAGGAGAGGAGAGGGCCGTCACCCAGACCGTCAATATGATGTGTGAAACAGGGGGGTGTATCTTCGCCCGTGGCAGCTACCCTGCGAAACCCTGCCTTCCCCGGTATTTCGGGGCACCCTCATCCAGTCACCCTAGTCAACTTCTCAGTGGATCGCTCAGGTTCCGCACCCACCACCAGCATCCAACGGAATCTGCCGGGTCGACAGCGGCCCAACTCCATTCCTGGTCGGCTCGCAGGTTAACTTTATCCCAGGTCACCACCGTCCATCAACTAGGGGCGCAATGCCTTCCACCATCGGAAGGACTTTTGACCCTAATGGGTATCGATCCCGGGATCTCCCGGGGGCAATGGTCGCGCATTACCAGTAGTGCCAAACCCTAGTCAATATGTCTGTCACAGTGCCGGTCATCACTAAAGCTGTCCAGCTGTCGAAACACGAGGCCGGAAGAATTCGTAGGACCTTCGCGCCCCAGGGGTCCTGCTGCTGGGTTTCCATTCCCCCCGGCAACGAAATGCGCAACTCCTCCTTCTAAGCACACGATGGTAAAAGTGGACACTTCTGAACCAATACCAATAGCCTTCGATACCTCCTCAACTTGGTAAAACCGGACGGACTATCAGTCATATCAATCCGGTTGGAATGGACACTTCTGAATCCAGAACCAATGTATAATCCAGAAATTAGAAACGAAAAAGACTAGCCTAGCCAGATAACTCTAAGCTTGTGTTGATCAAAGTCACGGAAAAGTAACGCATTCGGAGCGGTTTTCACGCTCTTATGCCATAGAGCGTAGGAGGAACGTATACACATAATGAACGTGCACACGTACGGCATACAGTGTATGCCGTACGCAGCAACTCGCACATGTCTTACCTTCTGCACCGGTCATGACATGCATAGCTACCACTTTTGACGTATTCTGTACGGCAGGTGTGGAGGGGCCGTACGAGCTGCGCCTGATGAGCGGCGTTCCGCTGGAGCTCGTCCCATTGCCAGAGATGCAATCCGTACAACTGCCCGGGGAATGGTCTTCGGAGACGGCGGGGGGTTGCAACGTGAATCCTCTCTGGCGCAGAAACCCCAAGTACTACATCGTGCTTGCCAGCTTTGGCCGCGTCAGGTGCGTGTGCCCTGTTCCGTGGTGCGATGCGATCTTAATTTCATTCGTTTTCATTCATCGTTTTTTACTCGTTGTAAGAGTTATGCTGCTGTATCGTTTGGTCCCTTTTCTGTAGTTTCGTTTTGAGTTTTTCTCCTCCTGGTTCTTAGAGTTGTCGTTGCTGTTGCTTTTTTATGTCCTCCCTTAATGCTCCCCTGTCCTGCCTTGCATACGTAGACACGTATCTCCCCTCCCCTCCCAACTACCGCCAAAACTACGTTTTTGTATGGCAGGATCACCCTGAGCCGCGTCCCTAGTCGCAAGCCCCGTCACCCCGTGGATGATATGTTGGGGCTGTACATTCTGAGGGCAGCTGGCGCTGATGGGGAAATCAAGGTGTGTGTGCGCGCGCGCGCGCGCGTGTGTGTTGGGGGGGAGAGGGGAATGTCAGTCGAGGGGAGGGGAAGGCCAGCCGTCCAATAAAACGAAAAGAATCGCCCATTGGAACATTCTTGGGTGGTTTTAGGGCCCCCCCATTGTCAAAATAAGTTGAGAAGGTTTTCTTCCCTCGCCAACATGGCTTGTTATCTAATTGCGCTTCGGTGATTGGTCGGTTGCTGACTGTTGTATTCGTTAGCCATTAACCAGCCCTAGTGTACGGCGATATCTGGTCTAGGCGCACTTATCTGGGTTGACGTGTTCATTCCCCTTCGTCCTGCTGTCCAATCTATCAGGTCACGATCAAAATCACAAATTCCGCGGCAGCCTCACCAAGCCAAGCCTCGTAACAACTCCCCGCCCCCATCAACCCGGTGTTGTGGATGGCTGCCCCCTTCCCTTCTGGTTGACATCCCTTTCATTCCACAATAACTCTTTTTTGTCGGTTTGTTCCTCATGCTTCATCACCATCTTTATCCCTCTCCCATATCTCATGTCATCCTTCGCCTTTCTGTTGTTCCACCTCAACCTCAACCCCAACCGACAGGGCGACCCGCGTCGCGCCGTCGTGGCCGAGTCGACCTTTGTACCGCAGCCAGACACGACCGCCGAGTACGAACTAAACGGCGGCTGCCATTACGTGATCATGCCGTGCACGTACGGCCCAGGTCGTCTGGGTCGCTTCTCAATTTCCGTCTCGTCCGCCACACCGTTCCAAGTCAAGGCACTCTAGCAGAACTTGACAGCATCACCATCACCACCACCATCATTATCCAACTTAGCGTCCTATGGTCTGTTATTCACACGCGGCATGCGGACGGTGGATGCGTAGGAGTGAATATCGTTACACTAGCTACAGCGTGTGTATGTGTATGTGTATGTGTATGTGAGTGCGTGAATACTTCAATCTGCTGGGTTGTTTTTCTGTGGAGTTGTAATGGCGACGTGACCACTATTATGTATGTATGTATGTATGTATGTATGTATGGGAGGCAGGGGCCAGTACTGTCCGAAGGTCAGAGCTGAGGTTGTAAGAGGGCGGAAGCAGAGAGAAGACACCCAGGGGCTGTGTATTTATGCATGTATGTATGTATGTGTCTGTGCTCGTACGTATACGTGTGCACTCTGATGGGAGAATGTGCTGTTTGGATGAAGCGCCCCCTTGATGTGGCGGTGGTCAATGCCACAGCGGGGTGGCGATGGCAGCCGCTCTGTGCGTGTTACGGGGAAGAAGGGAGGCGGCATGCATGCGGGTTTGGCACTTTCCTTTCGCCACGTGTGGGTGTGTGGATACGTGCGATTACTTCACACGGCGCTGTCGCTCCGCGGCAATTCGTTATGGCTGCGTGTTTTGTGGTTGGGTGGGAAGTGGCTCACATGCTGAGGCAGACTATTAGATGAACAGTCAAGAGCAACCAGCTAGTTGGGTGACTGAGCTGGCGAGCTGGTGGTGGGGATGGGGCGTGTGAATATTCCGGTAATACTGTCGTGTCTGTGTTTATTGCGCGCGGATGTCTGGTGCTTTTAGCGCTCGCGGAGGCAATGACGGAATGATGTTAGAAGTAACCCTGATGTAAGGTTGTGTGTATACGTACGTTGTCAGTGTAGTTTTGTATGTCACCTCATAAGAAAGGAGGGGAGGGGTGACATGCGGGCAGGAAGGTGCATCTGCGCTGGTCGATGTTCAGAATTCTTGGTGCATGCGAGTTGGCCACAATGCGGTGAAAGGAGGTTGGTGGTGAGACTGACTGATGTTGACGCGTAATACATGGTGTCGCGGAAAAACAAAAACACCGCTCAAGGTGTTCTGCGACGATGGGGAACCAGTGCACCATTTCGGTCTACAGCCACATCTATAGGCACATTCATCAACCCATATACCACAACAGCACATCGCATGCCCATCCCCTAACTCATATGCCATGCTTAACGCCATTCAGCCACACAAAGTCCTGAGCTCAGATCCCCAATTGGACCCCCATATTAACTGAAGCGGTTGTAGGAAGTGTTGAAAAAAAAGAAAAAGGGGGCACATTTGGTGAGGGTTTGGCCACGGCACGGCTCGAGAGGTGACCACCAAGGCCACATAGCAATCACATCATCGTCGTACATGACTTCTTGTTACGTCATTCTCATACTTACAATCCCTCGCACTACCACTACGCTGATCAATAAGCAGAACACATAAATAACTGTGGCTTGGGAGACGCACAACGGCTATAACAAAATTATTATTAAAGAGCGACAAATAGCATCGGCTCATACACTTACTCCTCAAGGTCCCCGTCGCGACCATCGATATGTTAAAACCGAGTTCCAAAAAGGAAGGACATGCAAGTAACCGGGAAGAAGGCCCACACCCCCAGTCGCGACATCTGTGTCAGAGCAAAAACCCTCTCCTCACCTCGCGCGCACCCACATCAACCCCGAACCTCCTAACACAGGGAAGGAAGGCGGGAGGGAACACGGGTGACAACACCGAGTAGTAAAGCCCATACACACATACATGCCCGGCGGCGGGGCCTTACAGGCGGGATGGAAAGTAATGCCGTACACGCCGTACACCCATCGACAGGCACATGCTTGCCATGGGCACGGAGCAAATGTACCGGCGGCGCGGAAGCACAGGTGGTACGACGCATCTGCATGATACACGGTACACAGCTCCAGTAGCCCGTCTCCACCAATCCCTTCCCCCTCATATCGGTCGCGCTTGCAAGCGCGTAACACGCCCAGCTCCCTCTTGCAGGAACCCAGTGGGCGCGTTATCAGAGGAGGGGGAGGAGACGCAGAGAAAGGGAAAATAAAAAAGGTACAACCCCACGAAAACAAAACCTAGGGTCCAAAGCACGAGCATGTTGTCAGTAGTCGGTGAGGGAATGTTAAAAAAGCAAATGGCGGAAGGACACCTGCCAACCGCTTTTCAACAATGCGCGCGAAATGAGGTGTGGCTGGTAAGAGAAGGGACTGAAGAGACGGAGAGGCGAAGGAGCATACAGGAAGACACTCACTTTCCGCAAAAAAGAAAGCCACGCGACGTGGGTTTTCATGGAACACACACACACACACACGGTCCCCCCCCAGGCACGCCCAACACGTTTTCCATTGTGATCACTAACACGGACTCCTTTCCTCTCCTTCATTCGCGCCCCACCCCATTCCAATCCAACAGGCAACCTGACAGCCACACAAACCTGCGTCGACCGGTCTTTGGCAGCAGCTGCAGCAGTATCACTAGCAATGGAGAGCAGTAGCAGCTGCGATAAGGATTAGCAGCAGTTGTGGAAGCGGCAGCGGCAGCGGCAGCCGCCGCCAATGAATTGCATTGCCCCCTTCCGTCCGACGGCAAACACAAACGGTAAAAAGTCATCGTCATCGTTCTCTGATGTCGTTGCGTCATCAGACTACGAAACACTGCACGCACGAACACCCCACGCGCTCCCGTCAGGGAAACACACGCCACTCTCGCAAAAAGCTTCTTTCTCCACCTGAAAAATAATCACTAAAACACTTCTTTCAATCATTTGATTTTGACCGTTCGCACAAATCGCACGCCAACCGCCAACTACCCACGCCCACGGAAAGGCGCTCTTCGCCTCATCGTCACGCCACACCAAGCCGTCACTCCATGTACCCACGTCTCGTTGGGAAAGCAATTGTGATGAGAGGAGGGCAGGAGCAACCGATTCCAAGCCTGACGCCCCCGCTGCAAATGTTTTTTCCGCTTCGGCGTGACATCGTCCTAGTCCGGTTAACCCCTGTGTTGTATCACATCATCAGTATAACCCGCATACTTCACCCCAAGGTGAGGGGTGATGACCCCTCCAACCCAAGGAGCACCGCAATCCATCCAAAAGCCCTTCTGGCGCGCATCGGCATCGCGTACGGCATGACGTCACGATGGTCATATTACTTTCGCTGCATGACCACGGGGGTTCTTAGGGTGCGGGGTGGATGTGCGAAGGGAGGGGGAAAAGCTGTGTAAAGGGGAAGGGTCCCGGAATCCTCAAGACACGAGTATTGGAGGGACAGGGGGCCGCTGGGAGCAAAAAGGGTTTCTACGCGCGCACGCCATCATACTAGCAAAACAAGTTAGGGGTTGCGCACCGACGGAGGCGGTGAACGCCGGTGCGGCGGCGGTGAACGCCGTACGGGGCCCGGTGAGCGCCGCTGGGGTGGCGGCGAACGTCGTAAAGGGGGGGGTGAACGCCGCTGCGGCGGTGGCGATCTACGCGACGGGCTAGGTTTGTGCCGCGGCGGCGGCGACAGCATCCGCGACGGCGGTGAACGGGACAATAGCGGCGGCAGGCGCAACGGCGGCTGCGAGGAGACCGGCGACGGCGGCGTTGATCGCGGCCGCGGCGACGGCTTAGGCCTGGGTGAGGGCGACCGTGGTTGTGGGATTGGGGGTCGTTGGTCCAGGGGGACCGGCGGAGGCTTCCCGGCGGGTGACTGAGACGGCGGCGACGGCGACCGTGGCCGTGTATGCGGTGGGAGTGAGCGCGGTGTTAGCAAGGGCAGTTCAGCGGCAGGTGTAGAGGAGTCCACTGGGACGTCGGGAGCCACAGGACCGTCCCTCACCGTCATCTTGGGTGGTGGCGGTAACGGCGGCCGCGGGCGCGGCGGTGGTGGCGGCGACGGCGGCCGCGGGCGGGGCGACGGCGGTCGAGGCCGCGGAGAAGGCGGCATTCGTGGTGACGGTGGTGACGGTGGCCGAGGGCGCGGTGACGGTGATGTTGGTGACGGTGGTCGAGGACGCGGCGACGGTGGCGGCGGTGGCGGAGATGAAGGTGGCGGCGGCCCTGGCGACGGGGGCGGCGATGACGGTGGTGGTGGAGATGGAGGCCGCGGCGACGGCGGCGGCGGCGGTGATTGCGGGGGAGGAGGTGACGGTAATGTCGGTGGCGGAGGGGCAGGCGACGGCGGTGGCGGTGATGACAAAAGTGGCGGAGGACGAGGAGGAGGAGGCGACGGCGGCGGCGATGCCAAAACTCCAGGAGGCGTTCTGGGCATTGCTGGCTGACTAGGATACGCTGGATCACTTGGGGGGTCGGACATCGGCGGCGGAAACCTCGGCGGACGTCGCGGCGGCAGCGGCGACGGCGGGTTTGGTGGGTTTCTGGGTGCACGGGGTGATGGCAAGGGCGGGCGTGGCGGCGGGCGCGGTGGCGGCGGCGGCGGTGGTGGCCGCGGCGGCGGCGGGTTCGGCGGACTTGGCGGCCGCGGCTTCGGCGGGCGTCGTGGCGGCGGTGGACTCGGCGGTGGCGGCGGCGGCGGCGGCGGTGGTGGCGGGGGCGGTGAGTACTTCTTGGGCGGCGGCGGCGCCGGTGATGGTGGCGGCGGCGGCGGCGGCGGGGGTGGCGGCATAGCTGGACTGAGTAACGGCGGCGGCGGCGGCGGAAATTTCGTTATCGCTGCACTGCCGTTGGAGGCAATGCAGTACACGTCAAGTTTGGTAATGCCGTACTGGTTCGGGGCGCTGTTCGCTCGGCCTTCCGTCGTCTGCAAAGCAGGGCGGAGGGGATTATGACTGGGGAGGGAGTGGATGGGAAGAATTTTCGGGTGGGCGGGTTTTTTGGTCTTCGCGAAAGACAGCAAAAATACAACAAAAACCCAGAGCATGACAGCGGAATGGTGGAAGAGTGAGCGATTCAAACACAGCAATTTCATAAGGCAAGTGCCTTGGACCGCACTATGATGCATGCGATGATGATGCAGCTGCATAACGGTAATAACTGCCAACGTCCCCAGCCATAGAGGGGTTGACGGTGGTTGGGTGGGTGGGGAGGAAACAGCCCAACCTCCAAAGGAAGGAGGAAACAGCCCAACCTCCAAAGGCGGCAGGGATGCAAATCCCCCCGTACACACAGTGCCGCTGTTCACACACAGCAGCGCTGCCATCCCCACCTGCCACCAATCAAAAAGATCAGAGCACGCTGCCATGTACGGTGTACAACCACAGCATATTGCCGTACCACATGTCGACCAACGAACCGACAAACAGACAGACTCAAGCCTTACCACAAAACCCGCCACAACGCTGCCGTTTGGACAGTTGGCCGAGCGAAGATCTGACCCATTGCGGGTGTTAGTGCCGATAGGCAGCTTGGCCAGTCCCGCCAGCCAGGCTTTGCTCGAATCTCTGAATGCCAGTCGGGTGGGGTCGGGGTTCAGGCTATCCGCCCGCACCGCGATAAAGCCCTTGGTGTCTTGGACAGAGTAGGTGTACGTGCCGACGTCTAAGCCTGCAGACAGAAAGCAGAGAGGGGGAGGTCGGGGAAAGGCAGGTGGGGATAAGGGCGAAATGGGGGGGAATGAGGGGAAAAGGGAAGAAAGGGGGATAAGATGAACCACTGGGCTGGGCTGCTGGCTGGCTGCTGGCTGGCTGGGCAGAAAGGGGGACGTTGAGGGGAACGGGATAACGAGGGGAGCAAGGTGGAAAGAGCCGACGCGACGGGGCGCAAATGACCTAGAAGTGTGACTGCGGGGCTGGGGGAGGGGTAGAGGAAGGGGACGAGGTGAGACGAACCACTGGCGAATGAAGGATATACCTGGTATAGCGACGGGAAGGGGGGAGGGGAATTGGGATTGGGTGGGATTGCGTGGGGGCTGCTATGATGTGTGTGTGTATGTATGGGGTCTGGGTGCGGGAGGTGCGGGACAAGGGCTCCACGGATCACAGGGCTCCCCTCCTCAGCTCCCATCCTCTGTGGATTGTCCTCTTCATCCCCATCATCTACATCTGCATCAAGATCAGGGCCATTAAGCCACCAGGGCATCGCTTCTAATTGAACAGGGTGCAGAACAGTGGTCATGTTCGTCCTCCTTTAGAACCCACATCAGCACCTTATCACACCATCCCACCATTACAGAAAACCTGCGACCTGCTCCCACCTTAACCCCAAATTGCGGTAGGAACACGGAGATGGAGAATGGTTTTTTTTTGTGCTAAGAAGGAGCGCGGGAACTGGGTTGTACGGGAACTGGGTTGTTCACAGCTGGGGGGAAGGAGAGGAGAACGGGAACCGCAAGGCTAAGGGGGAAGGGCAAAGGACTTCCGAGGAGGTGTGGACTGCAGTTAGTCGCGGCGAGGGCCCCGGGTGTGTGAACCCTCCCGCCCGGTAACGCAGTCCCGCCGCCCGCATCCTTTTGGAGTTCTAAGACTTGCCGGCTTCGAATAGGTTGCCATCACTGCAGAAGACGGAAATGTAGTTGACAATCTGGCCGTAGCTGACATAAATTTGGATGATGTAAGACTTCGGGTTCACGGTATTACAACGCATATCGCCGCGCAGTCCGCCTGGAGTGCCAGCGCCGAAGGAATCCCATGGCGTTGGAAACGATTGACCACCTGTATAAGCACATGTCGCCCAGGCCATCAGTCGAAATCCTTCCTAGATGATTGAAGGTAGGCAAAAAGGATAAGATATTCTTACCTACAAAATTCACAGCGTAGGACAGGCCCAAGAGTACCAACGGCGCGAAGGCTGGGAGCAGCTGCTGACCCAACCTCACTCTTCTTGGCTTTGACATTCTGACCTGACAAGCTACCGTGAATCAGGCGTTAGGCCAGAACGTAAGGTGTTCCATATCCACAGTAACGGCTCCACCTCCGAGAGAAACTGCGCGTACTGACGGCAGGCCGAGATTAACGCTGTGGACTTGAATACAGAATCTCCAAGAAATTACTTCACCTAGCCTGCCCACTGTATCTCTTCGCCCTCAAGTTTTTTCCTTATTGTTTCAGGAAGCTAGCCATAGACTTAACAGTCCAACACTCGCCGTACACTATAGTTGACGTGCGGAGCCGTATCAGCGACGGATAGATTGCAAATTCTTCCTGGGTGCCCTTGAGGTATCCTACGAAAGTATACGTTCTTAAAAGGGATGAAGTGCAAAGCTGTGTTGTCTCGTTGACGCTCTCGGTTTGGCCCTTCAGTTGGCGCGCCATAACACGCAAGGGCGGATGAAGGGGCATGGTGCAGTGGAAGGAGCTTAGCAGCAGGCGGCGTCTTCCGGATGTACCAAACCGGCTGGGTGCGTATGGTGCAAGTCGCAACCAGACGACTGGGCTTTTCGACCCACACCCGGCTTCTCGGCTCTGTAGGATTTACTAGCTTTCTATCGACGCGACCTACGTGGCGGACGACGATTCGTTCGGGCGGTTGGTGTAATCAAGTCAGAATGGCCAGTTTGGAAGGCTTAGCGGAGCCGCAAGGAGCTCCCGCTGCTGTCTCAACGCACAGCAGCAGGTGTAAGGTTAAGCGAACTCCAGTAGTCCTGAACTACCCACGTAGACCGGACGTGGCGCACTTCCGAGTCCTGCAATGGAATGTGCTTGCCGATGGCCTCGCACAGCACGGCGACTTTTGCCGGGTAGGTGCGAGCGCAGCAGACCAAAGATCGCGGTTGGATCTCGGCAGCTCTCGCCGCTGGGCACCATAGAGCTTGCGTCCTTTTGAACCAGATTGGAAAGCCGGCGTTGGACTCGTTCATTTCAGCGTTCTTGGTTCGCTTTTGCTTTACGCAGGCGCCGCCTGCGTGTCTCGAGTGGGAGTATCGGCGACCACTGTTGCTTCAGGAGATCTTGGAAGCCGACGCGGACATCATCTGCCTGCAGGAGCTCAACCATTTTGGTGAGCAACTGTCCTGGGCGGCCCTCCCCCACGTCTTACTCCCCCTCTAGCCCCCTACCCCACTACCCTTTTATTATCGTCACCCATGCAATGCGCCCTCCCGCATGTCCTCTTGGCCCTCACGCTCGTGCTCTCAGAGGTGGCCCTCCAGCCCAGATTTTGCCTTCACAGCCCTAAGATCTTGCTCTCCCACATCTGCATGAGGCCCCCCTTCCCTGTCCGTCCCCACCCTCGTCATCCTCAATGCCTTTGTTTGATCGTCCCTCCCTTCTCCTGGCCTTCCTCCCGCCTTCCTCCCGCCTGTTGTCAATGTGGCACTCTCACATGCCCCTCCTCCTCCCCCCTTTGTCGCCTCCCCATCCCTCTATCTCCCTGAACCCCCTTATTCCGGTCCCCAGACGAGCTGGACCAGGTGCTCAGCGGTCTGGGTTACGAGGGGGCCTTCCGAGAGAAACACGCCTCACCCGCACTCAAGTACGAGTACCCTCCGGACGGCATGGCGGTGTTCTATCGGAGGAGCAGATTCCGGTGCTGCCCCAACGGAGTGGAGGGTGGGTGCGGAGGAAAGGAGGGGCGGAGGAAAGGAGGGATGGAACGAGATGCGATTTTCAGTTTTCGTGGGAGGATAGACGGAGGATAGGGCCATGAGACATCCAACCCATCATTTCATATCCCATAACGTAACGGTCCAACCCCTACACCCCTATGCCCCCCGGCCCCAACCTAACCCTACTTCTGCAGGTCGCTCCTTTCATGACGACTCCACGGGCCGGGAGCAGTCCCAGGGCTTCCTGCAGATCTTGTTGGACGACATGGTGGTTGGACGAGAGCTGCTGATTGTGACAACCCACTTGAAGGCTAAGGACGGGGCGGAGTGCGAGGAACTGCGGCTGCAGCAGGTATAGGGGTGTGTGTGAGGTAGAGAGTGTGTGTGGCAGTATGCGCAGGTCTGTGTATGTATGTGTATGTTTGCTGGTAAGTGGCCCAACCGGGTGTACGACAAACGTCCTAGCAGGACGAGTCACGTTCATTTGTTTGTCCTGTTCTGCGGGTGACTTGTCTCGCCTAGCCTATAAGGCTTGTAATTACTCATCTCCATGTTACAGCATGTGTCAGGGTATCCGATTTCCCTGTTTCTTTTCCTTGGCTCAGAGCACCAAATGGGAGCACGTACATGTACATATACATATGCACATACTCACATACTCACATGCACGTACACATCAACGTACCCACTCTTCTCGCCCTCGCACAGGCGAGTCAGCTCCTGCGCAATGCGGAAGTGACCTTGCAGCGATTACAATACCGCCACAACCACCACCTCGACCGCCACCAAGGAGGATCGGGGGGAGGAGCTGCTGCTACTTGTAGTAATGGAGCAGGGGGAGGCGGTCAGGGCAGCAGTGCTGGCAATGGCGTCCATGGGAATGGGGCCGGGGGAAGTGGCAATGGGGCTGCTGCTGCAGCTGCTACAGCTGCTTCGGGCAGCCCCCGCACAGGCAATGGTGCAGCTAATGCCGTGGCCGGCAGCTACGGTCACAGCCGCCACCACAACAATGGGAATGGTGGTGGAGGTGGTGGTATTGGCGGCGGCGAGGTGGCTCGCAACGGTGTTGGAGGTGGCATGGCCGGGAGTGGGAGCAGGCCCTTCAGTATTCCGGTGGTGATCACGGGCGACTTCAACACCATGCCGGGGTCCAAGACGTGCGAGGTGCGAAGGGTGGGGAAGGCCGGCAGCTTGGAGCGGCGGGGTGAAGGGCTGGAACACAGAGATAGAGGGAGAAGTGGAGGGGGGGGGGGGAAATGATAGGGAATGAAAATTTGCTGACAAGACAACTAAAAGAAGTGAAGGTTGTTCCGGATGGGGTTCGATGGGGGGTTTTGCCAGCCCAACCCACCGCGGTCCTTCAGTTCAGCAACCCCCGCAACGTGCGCCCGCCTCTCCCTCAACCATATGCCTTCTTTACTTCTGGCGCATCAGTCTTTCCTTGGCATCACCTTCACCCGCTCGTGGGGTTCGTCTTCCCCCAACCCCCTACCGAGCTTTCAGAATTAGTTGGGACAGTTGCATGGCGTCCTCGCAGTTTCCTGGTCTCCAGCGGTTCGCGTGCTTTGGCAGAGTTCGACAGTTGCCCCTTTTCTTTCCAACAAAACATTTTCCTTATAATACCGTTATATATATAACGGTATATATAACGGTATATATATAACGGTATATATATAATGGTATATATAACGGTATTTTTCTGTATATGCAAGGTACATACACATTCCGCAGTCCCCCCCCGCTCATTTAACCCACTATTCGCCCAGCCTTGCAATGCACCCATCACGCATACACCCCCCCTCCTGAGTCCCCAAAGGCCCGATTGTCCAAATGTCAGTCTGAGCGGCTTTCCTCCAAACGAGGCGGGGGTCATGTTCGACACCGTATCCCAATGAACTCCCAATGCCGATCTTTTGAGCCCTCCCGTGCCATATGTCATATTACATATGTGATATGTCACATGTGATGTTACAGAGTGGGAGGCTTCTGGGCCGCTTTATCACATTGTCAGATTTACGATTTATCCCCCTATAGCACCATCCACCACATATGTGATATGCCATATGTGATGTTACGATGTGTACTGTAAATGTGTGTAAATTACTTGGTGCCTTCAGGCCTTCCGGCGACATCCCCTGGGTCTGCAATCTCTGTGGGAGCAGCGACCTCTGGATGCAACCCTCAGCAGCAGTGATGTGGATCAGAGCGGTAGCGACTGGGAGAACGTACAGCTACCAACACCGCCGCCGCCCGCACAAGCGCCAACAACAACAACATCAACAGCAGCAGCAGCGCCATGCGCGGCCCCCGCGACACCTGCGTTCCCTGTCTCGGCATTGCATCCACAACAACAACAGCAACAACAACAGCAGCAGCAGCAGCAGCATGAGGAGGGGGATGCGGCGGCGGCATCCAGCAGCTCTGGAGCAGCTGGAGGAGCAGCTGGAGGCGGAGGAAGCGGCAGCACCGGCGGTGGCGTCAGCACCTCCCCGCAGTCGTCATTGGTGTCCTTCCCGCCGCCGCCGTCGGAGTTCAGCACTTGGAAGTTCCGGGTTAAGGGCGAGTCGAAGCGCATCAGCGACTACATCTGGTTCTCTGCAGGTGGCAATGGAGCTGGGGGAGGGGGAGGAGGCGGAGCAGGTGGCGGTCTGCTGCGGCCGCTGCAGCGGTGGCGGATGCTGACGGAGGAGGAGATCGGGCCGGGCGCGCTGCCGTCAGCGGCGTACGGCAGTGACCACGTGTCCCTTTGCTGTTTATTTGAGTGGGACGTTGATGCGGACTTGGATTGGGTGCCGGCCAACAGGGAGCAGGACTGGGGATGAGGAGGCGGAGGGGGAGGGGGGGCAGCAGTGAGGGGACGCGAAGGAGGGATGGGAGGAGGGGGAAATGGGTGGTAGAGAAAGACTGGACGGGATCCGGATCCGAATTTGGGTTGGGGGGGTGAACTGGGACTTGGACCGAGCTGCAGGTTGTTGTTGGTGGCTGGTAGTTGGACATCAATATTGATCAAGGTTCGTGTTATTGAGCAGCAGCAGCAGCAGCAGCAGCAGCGAGTCAACCCAAGAGAGTTGCCCTTCCTGGCGCCCTCAGGTGACCTCGCCTCCACCTCCACCTCCACCGCACCGCCCCAATTCAACCCTCCTCCCCTCCAACTAACGCCGTCCCGAGGCATGCACGTACTTGCGCCGGAGGGACGCTTGCCGGAGGAGTGCTTTGCAAAGCATTCCTCTTTGTTTTTTTCGCGGGTTCTCGCACATCATTTTGTCTTTGGTTGTTGGGTTGAGGCGCAGGCGCGGGCGCGGGCGCACACGGAGGCGGAAGGAAGGGACCCGAGGGGCTAGGAGGCTGTGGGTGCGGTAGGAGGGGTTCGTGCTGATGCCACGCGATGTCTCCTCCCTAGTGCTCCCTATAGTGGTTTTGGAGCACGGCTTTGGGGGTTGGATTGGGACGGGGAGGAGAGACATGACGTGAGGACCTTAAAGCTCACGGCACGTGGAGATGTACGGCGCAGTCTGTACAACATTTTTGTGTATATCTTTTGTGTTAGCGGTGGCGGCGGCGGCGGCAGCGGCAGTACAGTTTGTTTTACTCGCGGATAGTATGGTGCGGGCCCGAATGAATCGTTTTCTGCACCCTCGCATGCTGCCGGGTGGTGGTGGCGAGGGTTGGTTGGGACGAGAGTGTAGTAGTAAGTGGTAGTAATAGTAGTAGTAAAGGAATGATAATGGTTTTATGTTTGTGTTTGTGTTGTTAAGAGGGAAATGATGTGTGTTTTGGTGTGCTGTCTTTTTTGTCGTACGATGTACTGCCGGCCGTACGGTGGGCCGATTGTCCGACTTCCGAGACCTGGATTCGATGGGCGGGAGGACGCGGGCCCACCAAGGTGTGTTCATTTTTTATGCGTCCTCCCTTGTCCGTTCACTAAAAGTCTGAGGTCTGGCCCTTTGCTGTTGGGATTGGGGTTTGTTGTTTCTTGTTCGTTTGTGTGTGTGTGGGGGGGGAGGAGGAGGTGAAGCAGGAGGAGCTCCTGATTGCGCTTAGAAGCGATGCTGATGCGTCGAAAATGCAAGCCTTGTACCATAACCTGAATTCTACACCCCGTTTCATTATCGGATATGCGCTTTCCGAGGGTGTTCACGCTCCCTGATTGCGGTGTCCTCTCTTGCGCGTACGTACGTATGTATGCATGTATTTAAGTACGTCTGCATTTCGTGTGAACTGTGTCTGTGGAGTGCTGTGCCGCGACGCCGGACCTGAAGCGCGTGCATGCACCTATGTATATGTCTATTGTAAAACAAAAAGTATTGGGTCGTATCTGACCCCTGTATCTCGGTCTGTCTGTTTGTTTGTCTGTCTGTTTGTTGATTATGTGGTGGAGCGCCAACGCCCTTAACGCCCGTCAGGGAAAGACTGGGCAATACGGCAGATAAGGCAAGACACACGTGGATGTGGCGCTGGCGGCTCTCTGTTTTGGACCGGATTCACCTCCTATCTGTTTGTGTGCATGTATGTATGCATTCCCTCTGCGAAAGCGCGTGTGTGCACGTGTGTGTGTGTGTGTTTGTGTGTGTGTTATGGAAGGCCAGAGATTACCTGTAAGGTGAAACAGATGCACAAACGTATGCGCCCTCGCGAAGGGGAGCATTGCCAGGCGCATAATCCATTATGTAATATGTCAGTGTGCGTGTGTACGCCTGTCTGAGAGAGAGAGGGGGAGAGAGAGCGTGTGTGTGTGTGTGTAAAAGAGTATGATGCGTACCAGTGCGTTCATGGAACATTCCTCGGTGTTCTGTGCGTGTTTGTATGCATGTATGTATGTATGTATGTAGCTCTCCTCCGTTCTTTCGGAGAGGGGCGCCCCCGAGTTGAGTTGAGATGCTTGTGGAGGTGATGCAGATATTGGACCCTAAGTTTTTCTCTACTCTCCTTATCCCCGGCAAAAGCATGGAATGGACAGCCAGGACGTGGCATCGGCAGAGGTGGCATGATGGTAGCGTGTAGGCGTTGGCAGTAAGGTCGGGGGGTGTGAGGGGGTAGCTACAGCGCATTGTTGTTGGTTTTGTTGTTGTCGATTGTTCTGATCGCCGTCGTTTTTGTGACATTTCTTGTTGATCCTGTTGTCCTTGATCATGCCGCTGCTGCTGGTGGTGGTGTTGATGGTGGTGGTGATGGATTTCCTGTTGGTCACGTTGTGGTGGCAGTGGTTGATACGGTCCGATATGTCGTTCAGTGCCGGCGTTGTTGTTGTTGTTGCTGTTGTTGATAGTAAACTTGCTCAGGAAGGAGGACTCATGTATACGGATGCCACAATCCACAGCAACACCAGGATGAAGTAAAGGCTCTCACTGCCATCGCAGCCACAACCACCTTAGTAGCCGAGTAGGAGGGGCCCCCGCCATCACCGCCATCACCACCATCACCGCCATCACCGCCATCACCACCATCACCACCATCATCCCCGGGTACCACGGTCTACCCACCACAGCAGCGACAGAATCTGTATGTAGCAGCAACCGACCGACGTCAGCGGTGGGGCCGTACATACATATATACACCTGTACATAGGCCCCAGCTACCCGTGGCGCAGCTCTTAGTTATATAGCCCAATTGGCAGGGCTGGAGGTCCTGGATTCCCTTTCCCCCCTTTCCCAGTAAGGGAGGCCGGGGCCATGTCGAAATCCGAAAACCCTACGTCGTCTCTGTCGCTCTCTCTGTCTGCTCCACATGGCACAGCCTGGGCGCCGGGAGCAGCGAGTCACTCCCGCATCCCCCGGCTTCCAAGCACCGCGACCAGAAAATTGTTTAGTCCAAACCGGACCTGATCTGATTTAATAAGGTGCCCTGGTCTAGTCCTCTTGGAAACCTCATCGTGTGGGAAAAAGAGCGAGCAGCGAGGTAAGGCTAACCGACTGAGGGGGGATGCGGCGGCTCCAAGTGGGCGGGAAGGGGTGAGAGGGCGGGAACTGGGGGAAGGGGGCGAGAACGCGTGAACCTCGTTAGAAATGCAACCGAACCGTTTCTTTGGGGAGTCGAGCTTGGGGCCGGGGCAATGCATGGGCTGGAGGTATCTCAGATGCCTCTGGCCTCCGGATAACGATAACTTTTGTCTCCTAGGGAGGGCGACGGTGGGCGGGTGCATGGGGCAGGGGGATGGGGGAGACCTGGAAGGGGGAATGTCCTCTGAAGTAGTTCCGAGCCAGGCCCTGACTTGAAGGATGTACGTTATTGCAGGTACGATGGAGCGGGGTCGTTGCACCACGAAAAGAAGACGGGTGTGCCTGGGTGATTGTGATGAAAGGGGCAGGATGAGGGGCCGATCTCGTTGTTTTTTTTTCCTGCCCTCTCACCTGCATATCTAGTGTCTTGATGTTCTCCAGCGATGATTGGAACAGCGATTTTGGGTTTCGCAATTATGTTGGAGTGAATGTGCTTAGGTGTTCTGTGAAGGGAGCTGCGTGCGTGCAAGGTCGAATAAAACAATGGAGCGAAAAATGAAAAGATCGGACTGCTGTTGCTGTTGCAGCATGGAAATGATTTATTCCCAGAAGACCTGATGTTTGTGCACATTGTTCGCTTGCACAGCCTCGACTTAACCTGTTTTTCCTGAGGAGCACAAGAAGATGATGCGTGAGGATGTCGAAGGAAGATGCCTCACGATTTGAGCTGGATGATGCTCCTATGGTCTAAGTATGATTAAGGCTCACAATTCGCACTCGCGATCTGTCTGCACAATGCACAGCCCTGCGGAATCGAGCCTTGGCGAGCCCACTCGATGCACCATCTCCATCCTAAATATCCTGCGTCAGACAGACTTAGCACTCCAGTTGCGTCATGGATCCAAGAAGCTGATCTCCTGTCAACGACAGTGGATGCCCGCAACGGTCTTGCCTGCACTGGCTGCGCCTATGGAAGACTGTCCCGTAGCGGACCGTAACGTTCGACACTACGTCTTGTGGTACAATTCGGATGATTTCTTCGGATGAGGTGAGATACTTGATTATTTGGTTATGGAAAGAGGGCTTCTGTGTGGGCTTGGGATAAGGACGCCATTGCGGAGAACATTCGGTCATTGTAAGGTGCTCGTTGCTGTCTCTTTTGGATCATCTGCGTCGTAGTCATACAACAACATGAAATATATACGAAATTTTATCTCCTTCAAAATTATCTGGATATGGAAGAACGCAAGATACAGGCTGTCGAAGTGAGAACACGCGAGATGGAAAGGACGAAGGCATTCACTAAGTGAATCTAATTTAAGGATAGATACACCTCACCCCTGAAGATTAAAAGACCCCGGTACTGCAAAGGACACCTGGACAGTGCCTTCTCGCTCGTTGGCAGGCATGCAGGCGGGCCACCGGAAGCCGCATAGTCGCGATAGATAGTCATCTCGGCTAAGCTAACCTGACATTATTATGACACTGTAAATACGTTCGTTGCGATTATGTGGCAAAGGACTGCACCCCATGAAATGTGTGGCATTCCGCAACGGGCTTGGCCATCGACAGAAGCTACTCCAGGCACTTGCATCCTAATTTATTTACTCTACCCGAACAATTGGTTTTCTAAGGTTGCTGCTGTCCCCCTCAGCTAGTGCAACGTACATTTTCGGTTGGCGGGAAAAACCTTGGGCGGGCGGTCGCAGGGAACTTACAGCCCTGACACTGCAAGAACTGCGGGAAAAATTGCCGGCTCGAGCCGATTCCGCGGTAACAATTCCTGCTGTGCTTGCCCTACTGTCGTTTGGCCACGTGGTTGTCCCGTGTCAACAAGAAGCGCGGGAAGTGTCCGAAGTCCGCAGCGTAGCGTACCTTTTGTTTTTCGCCCTCAATCGTACAAAACGTTGCTCCGCTTTCACTCCCAACTAGGACCCCTTTTCCCGCAACCTCTCACACGATACGAATACAACGACCCGCTTCGCTCTGCTTAGCAAGCCGCGACGAAGGCTGCAGCCCCCTTCTACAAGCTGCGCACTTTTGCCCGTGCCGGACTGGGAAGGTGCTGCGTGAAAACCGAAGTCATGCGAAAAGACCGCCGGCAGTTGTCTCTCACAGCGGTCAGCCATCGTCCCAGTCACTGCTATTTATAAGCGCGATGATGAGAGCGGAAAGAAAAGGAAAACTATTTGTTGTCCATTTCAGTGCAGTACACCTTCACTAACACCACAGCGAATAAACCCCTCACAAATTACCCCAAACAAACGTCAGTAGTATCTTATACTTAAGCAGAGCCACAAGCTTCAGAGTCGCCTTCTCCTTCGGCATGGCTACGAAAGATACTTGAGCTGCAGTGCGTCCAAAAGTGTGCGATCCAACCAGCAAAAAAGACGTACATCGGATTTAGCAGTCAGGGGGATTTTTCATAGAACGAGCAACGCCTCCAGACTCCAGAGCAATCGCCAACGGTTCGTTGAGAGTGAAAAAACATCTTTTTGGCAGAATCGATCCCTCCACATCTATCTGCACGGCGCTGGTGTTCCGGAGCGGTTCCTAGAGTTTTTCACAGCGGAACGCGCCGAGAAACACCTGTCCGGAAAAAACACCTGTCCTGAGAAACACCTGTCCTGAGAAGCTGTCCTGTGTCAATCAAAAACGTTGGGCAGTACAGATCTGCAAACTGCCCATCCGTCTATCTGTATACAACTCGGCTATCTCGGCTGCGGCACAGGCTCTCATCCTCATCCCATCAGGGCCAGAGGCACTGGCACTAAGCGCGTGACATGAATTGCTCCAGGGGATCACAATACATAATACAAACATCCGCTCTCATATGTACACGGTAGATTTGGGCGAGTTAGCCTGCTGCTGCTGCCGTATGTTTTTTGGGGCTATGCTAAGCAGCATTATATTTTGATGTAGAGGTGGTTGGGAGGTTGTTGGTTAGGAAAGGGTAGGGGCTTCGCCAGGCATAGGGTAGGGGCTTCGCCAGGCACCAACCGCTACGATACCAGCCTCGGAAGGGGAGGTGCGGCCCTTTCTCATCCTGTTTCTGGGATTGCAGATAGTACGGCCTCAGCCTCCGCAAATGAACTAGAATCGAGATTTGCAATGTGATTTAACCTTAGCGATGTTGTCGTTGCACAAATCCAACCGTCACACGTTGCAGCCGAAATTGGATGCACTTTCGGAATGTCGATGACGTATAACAGTACAATGTATACATGCAAATCAAGCATCTAGTCCTGAAAGCTGAAGCTACGGCGCGCCTAGGGCAACCGTCAGAACCCCTATTGCCACCCGATGGGTTATGACGAGCTTCGGCCTCGAGCGATTATCATGACAATTCAATGCTGAAATTCGGGTTGCATTTACGGGCTTCCAAGTCCATCTTGCAAGGGACAGGTTCCCTCGCATTGAGCATTCCAGCTAAATTACGGTCGGAACGGCACCAGCTCTGTAATATAAGGGCCTTTGTACCATAATCTGAAAAATATTGTGCCTGGTGGCAGAAATTTAGTCTAGCAACTTTCCGGAGTCTGCATTGGTGCACCCTGGCTGAGCCTACCCGACCGAGGACATCCATAACTCTATGAATTGTCAATCCAAGCCTATATTGAGAGATAACAACTAAAAATATAGGGGGCCTTAATTCGACCAATGATCTTGTGAGTTAGATACGGTACTCACAAACTCCCCCATTTTTTCAGCTCAAGATTGGCTTGAAAAATTCCTGATTGCACATGCGCTTCAATTTGATGTGATAATGACGAGAACCTGAGCATTCTGTTATGCAGCGTTGCGTTAGAATAACTCAGCGAGCGGTGCAACATACAGCGAAGCGTGCAAGGAGAAGGATTGTACAGCTGAAACAGAGCCTCCGATTATGTTACTTAAACTTTCCAATGACTGCACATGCAAACAATGCAACCATAGTCAATTTGGTGATCGTACGACTGGCGCCCGCCTCCGAATCGCCTTCGACTTCGACTTGCCATACTTAAGCGCCTGGACGCCCAATTTTCCTTACCGCCCTAGCCTTTTACCATTGGCTAGGTGGTATATAAGCTTAGATTGCTAGCGTCTGTTCATTGCGTGCCGCGTCCTACCTCTTCTCGCCAAGCTGCGAAGTTTTCTTGGTGAACCTGTTGCTTAGCGACTACCTCGAGCCGTTAGCTATGTACACGCCAGGCACCAGGGCCAGCGCCCGGGGCCTTGGTCCTCTGCGGCTAGCTGTGCTGCTTGTCTGTTGTGGCGGGCTGCTGCTTGCCCATGCCGAGGCGACTCGCGTGGCTCTCTACATGAGCGCAAGCAATGGTGTGCTTGATTTGTCTTGGGACAATGGCCCACAGAACCTGGAGCGGCAGCTGCAGCAGCTCGGCTTCGACGTGCGGTCGTCTGATGGCCAGCCAACGCTGTCTGGCCCGGACGCCCCCGCGGCGTACATCATCCCTGCTCAGAACGGCCCAAGCTTCTACAGCTCTGTGGAGGACATGAATGCGATTTCGTCGTATCTGTCGTCTGGTGGCTTGGTGGTAGTGCTGGACGCCAATCACGGCCAGGGCGAGGCTCTTCGCAGCTTTGTTGAGGAGTCGCTTGGCTACCAAGGTGCGTGACGTCAAGTGAAATTCATTTTATCCTTTAAACCTGAAAATATGCCTTGGCGATTCGGCTCCACTTTTGTTTGTTTTCGCATCGTGGCAATGAGCTGTGTCCCTGTCCCTTCGTGTCGCAGGTAGCTGGTCCACCTGCAAGCAGCTAAGTGCTAACGCTGAGAAGCAGTTGGCGCTTACAGAGTTTGCATCGTCCTTCGTCAGCGTTAAGGAATGGCCCGAGTCGCTGGAAAACGCGCAGACGACGTCCCTGCTGTCTTGGTGCCGCCACGAGGATTCTTCCGCAAGCATTGTGCCTCTCTACACCAGCATCGGCGACGAGTCGCAAGTTGCTGTCCAGGTGCGCGGTGCACTTCTTCGATATGTCGGTAATTAACCATTGCTTCAGTTACTTTGCCGCCACGGTCTTAATAATTATCCAATATCGGTACGCTAAGACAAACCGCCTTTTTCTGACACACTACTTTGGCAGGCTTTCGGCAAGGTGTCCGTCCCCGGCGCCGTTGTCTGGATGGGCTACAGCTGGAAGGACGGCGAGCAGGAGCAGTGGGGTTTGCTGTTGAAGAAGCTTGTGGAGGAGTTTGCCCAAGGTGCGTAAGCGCGTATGGCTCGTCCCGATTGCCTCGGTAATTCCGGTGTTACTGCCTTATCGCCCGAAATGACGTGTTAAGTTGACTTCGAGGTCGCGTATGGCCCTCTGGTGCTGATTAGGTTTGCTCATTAACATTAATTTTTATTATCAAATTAATACTAGTTAGCAGTGCAGCACCGCAGTCCAGAGCTTCGCAGCCATGTCTCGTGAGGCATTGGTTAATGCTGATGTCATTCGCTACCGCACACCGCTATTTCACTAACCCCGTTTCGTGCCCATTACGTTGGTTTCAGGTGGTTATGAGGCCCCTAAGCAGGGCAATGCGGACCTGCACCCATTCAACGTTGACTCTGTCCTGGCGGCGGCCGCTGATGTTGCTGACGATGCCGCGGAGGTGGTGCGCCGCTTCCTCCAGGTCGGCGCCACGTACCCGCCCCCCCCGCCAAAGTCAGAATCTACCAAGATTTCGGTCGTCAACATGACGGCTTACGGTGCCGCTGGCAAGACGAGGTGCGTTCAAAAAACGCTTTTCGAAACACCCGCCTCCCCTCGCTTCCCCCCCCCCCCGCATCACCCTTGCCATGGCCCTCTCCCTCTCCCTCTCCTTCTCCCTCTCGCGTCCTGCGCCGTATTAATGTCCCTGATAAACCTGGATCAGCGTCCTTGCCACCAACCCCTTCACATCATCGGCACGGCACCTGTTCTTCGCACGGCCACCTAACTGCTGTACGGAATGACGTCACAGGGACCTTGTGTGGTACGATGACGCCGACTTCCGTGAGCAGCTGAAGCCGCTGTCGGCGCTGCAACTTGTGGACCAGACCAAGACCCCTTGCCCGGCCAAGTGCGGTGCTTGCGAGCTCGCGTGGAAGGCCACCCGCTCCAACCTGCAGGTCGCCGTGTTCTTCAGGGACCCTGTGCAGATCGCTCGCATCTACCTGAAGCAAATCAAGAACTCGGGCATCATCACGGTTAGTAGAAGATTCTGTTGTCCGTCGTTTTCTACATTCAAATTATGATATGCATTCGAGTTTGGAGTGTGAAGTTTGGGAATTGGAGTTACAGTGGGTTGGAGAGGCGGTTCGGTAAAGAATGTTGCTGTGAAGCCTCATGTTTCAAGATTGTTGACATTTTCTATGAAGCATTCTTGACTTATCTAATAAAAATGATCAATTTTCTGAATGCTGGAGCCTGGAATTCCGCCCGTTTCGTTAGGGCTTAGGTTGAACTGAACTTTCTCACCCGTTTCCGCTGCTTTCCGCAGCTGCTTTCCTTTTCCTTTTCTTCCCTCTCATTAGAAAAACATCCGCATCAAAATCCCCTCCTCCCTCCATCATCCCCACCATCGCCCGCACCGTTCCTCCCAGATCCAATTCATCAAGTGGGTGTACCCGCCGACTGGCGCCATCGCCGGCAACGTCGGCCGCACTGTCTGGAACGTCACAGACGACACCTCTATGTGCCAGTCCGTCCTTGTTGTTCGCGTTCCGCCCAAGAAGTCCGGCGTCAACAAGCCAGTTCCCACAGGCTTCAACAGGAGGTCCCTCCCCCCAAGCCTGGCGTCCACTGCCGTCGGCGGCGTGCTCATCACCATGGAGCGCCCTGACAACGCCGGACAGAACTTCGGACCCTTCCTGGAGTGGGTTCGTTTCAGCGGGCGGGTGCTGTACCCGGAGAATGCCGCCATCTACGCGAACGCGGTCCGGAAGAAGTAAGAAGCGCGTCGATGATGTACGATAAGAGGGAAGTACGACAAGAACGGAGGACAGGATGGAATGGGGTGGAGGTGGCGAATGGAGTGGGGTTGGGGGCGGCGCTCCGCTTCCTGACCCGACTACCGGCTACGATCTTTTCCGTCGTTTCCTCCAGCTGCATCTGTTCCCCGCTTCCCGCCTCCCTTCCTTGTCTCCATTCTCCTCCTCCCTTCCTTGCTTCGCCTCCTCCCCCATCCTTCCTCCCCGCCCTCCCTCCATCGCCTCCTCCCCCATCTTGCGCCTTCCTTCTCTCCTCCTCCCCTTCTTACTGGGGGATAGCGTCGCCTTCACATACACCTTCCCCACTACGTAAACAATCTCGTTTGGGTGTTGGGTGTGCGTTGAGGTGATGAATGAGTTTCCCCGGGGTTGGCAGGTAGCGGTACTGTGACGCTGTACGACTGTACGGCAGCGAGTACGTATGGCCGTGGCAGCAGCAATACCTGTCGTCGCAAGAGGAGCAGCAGCAGCAGCAGCTGCAGGTTGTTCGCAACGAAAAAAATGTTGAAAGCAACAAACAGCTGCAGCAGCAGCAGTAGCATATTAAAAATACTAAAATGATAACAGAAAGGCGCTGTTTATGGACTGCTATGCGGCCAAGGTGTGAAAACAGAGGTTGCCGGAGCGGAGGGCGGTGTGAGTACGAATTCCCGAATGGGAGCTTGTGACGTGTGTTGTACGGCAGGTACGGCAACACCGCTGTAGATGTAGCTTCCGGCGGTTCTTATCTTTACACGCATAGGAGGATTCGCGGGGTAGGATGGCTAATATACAGTCGGCAAATTCTCTTGGATCCCTTTTTCAGTCATTCATGGCTGGCTATAGGGTTTGAACAATTCAACTAAGTAGCGCTAGAGGCAATTAGGCTCCCCCAATCGCGGTACGTTTGAGAACAGGGTCAGACATTATCCGTCTGTGTGCAATAGCGCGCGATGCGCCTACAGTCCTTTTGAACCGCAGGTTGAGGCATGTTTGCCTGTTCGTCTATCTGTTCTTTGTCTGTCTGTCTGTCTGTCTGTTGCCGCAGATAACGCATCACCGTATGTTTGTTGTCTGTGGTGGTCTCTGTGCGTTTCCTAACACTCCAAGAGAGGAGAGACTGTGAAGGGGCGTGATGATGTCTTGGATTGGATAGAAGTCCGCGCCGCTGTACGGCAGAGATTCCTTGAGGGAAGGGGAATGTTAATAGCCCCCGGAGAGGTGTAGTACAACGGCGATGTCATTGACAGCACATACACACATACGCACATACACATCTGCACATATACACGAGCGTCCTCTGCTACTCCTGAAGTCCCTAAGTGCGACCGTGTATATTCCACCTTCTAACCACCTCCTCCTCCTCCTTTTCTACAGCCCCCAAGCAAACCTGGGGATCCTCCAAGGCGATTAGTTTTGACTCGGACACCCACTGACAACAAGCAGGAGGTGTACGAACATCCTGAAGAAGGCCGTTCGGTGCTTCTTGTGTGTATGAGATTGTGTGTCTGTATGTATGTGTGTATGATAAGGTGCAAGTGTATCACGCGCGCGCGTGCACGCCTGTGTGTCGTACTGCGAGGTGTTTCCGGTACGCATGCATTTTTGACCGACGATTGACTTTGGAAGGAGCCGAACCCCCGGCCTGTGGGGGGAGAGTTGACAGTCCTTTGGCCGCGCAGATTCCTGGCAATGGTCTTTTGGTGTTAGCCGTACGGTACGCAGTCTCGCCGTACGCAGACAGTACCGTACGTCGGGTGTTTGTGTGGCTCTGTCCCCGTCTTGCGCCAAGATGCTTACACCCAGTAGGCTGTGGCACCGACGGCGACGGCTGCGGCTGTACGGCAAACCTAGGCAGCAATGGAATGGAGTGTACGGCAATGGATGGATAACTTACAGGCGCTCGGAACGGGTGTGTTTAGAGGTTGGTACAACAGTTAATGTATTTTGTATGCATATGGGGGTTTACAACTAGCCATGCCGTGCTGCCGTACAGTACGACGAATACATACAGCTTTTGTTGGTCTGGCGGATGTCGGCTCATCCTGGTTCTTTGCGCCGGATGCTCTGGGCCGGGAAAAGCGCGGCGAGCTTAAAACGGCAACTTTATATTTCTTGTACGATAAGGCCGGTGCCACGATTGTCGTACCGAGTATTAATCGTATAACATACGTCGTACGTCGTTAGAGTTGGCGAGCTCATCCTGGTTTTTCGCGCCAGCGAGGTGCCGTCGCTCACCGCCGCAGCCACCGGTAGTACCTCAATAATCATCACCAACCACCATTAACCGCCTCAACCACCATAACTGCCCTGAACGCCCCTAACGGGATGGGGAGGACGCCGTCATGAATCAGCATGTCAACCGCATTGGCATTGTCGTACCGCCTCTTCCGTAAGGATGCAGTACGTTGATTGTGAGTCTGAGGTGGTTGTGGTTGTTGTATTGGTCGTTACATGTCGCAATTCGTACGACAGTCTGCTCTCCATTATCATGGATCCTCGAAGTGAGAGAATGGAAAACATCTTACATCTGATGCCTGCTCCTACCCTTTGAGGACGGACAGACGAACATACGGATGGACGAAAACGCCAATTATTGACGCCTTAACGAGGAGTGGTACGCGTTGTGGAAGACGACTGCAAGTGTGTGTGTGTATTTAATCTGGTTCCCCGCGCCAGTTGTCGTACAGACTCCGCTGCATGGCATTGGGTAATTAGTGACTGGGGAAATCCCCGTCGTCTCCTTCCCCCCTCTTTGGCATTTACTGCCTTTTACTTCTCGCCGTATCAAAACATACATACATAGATACATACACACATGCAATACACACCTTGATATGTCTACAGTATTTACTAGAAAACGCTGACATGTCGCTGACATGATGCTGAGCTAGCATCGGTACAGTTATTCGTGCACCCACTTCGGCCTATCCTCGAATCCCAGCTCAGGTCAATTAGACACACAAACACACACACACACACACACACACACACACACACGTGGCGCCAGCAGCAATAGCAGGGCAGCAGCAGGTGATGATGAAACCCTAAGTTGGAAATGTACGGCATCACCACTGCAGCCAGGTTTTCAGCACATACATACACAAATACACACACATACATACATACATACACATACACACTACCTGTCAGATCAAGCGGCGGTAGCGGGCCCCGCCTCCACGAGCCCCTCTTCTTTAATGTTGGGGGGATCGCTTCCTCTTGAGCAACATCTCTTCGTCAGGGTTTTAGGGTTTTAGGGTTTTCACAGGCCCGTGCGTCACGGCAAACAACACAGACGCATAACAGTTAGGTGCAGAGCGATGCTTAGAACACGCAACACGAAATGCATGCTGGGGCCGCCATCGTTGCGGTACCAAGGGAAACGACCAAGATGGAAATCTCAGCAGTATTTTTCTTCCGATACCAGCTTCCGCAAGCCCAAGGAAACCGCATCACGCTAGACACCGTACACCCCCCAACATTATTGACATGCCCCGAGGACCCAACCGCCCGAATACAAAAGCAATATATAAGAAAAAAGCATTTATCCCGCCAGCAAGTAAAGCACAGAAGGCACATATGGCCTTGTACGGCAACGGTACGGCAGGCACCAAGTAAAACATAGTGCGTTAAAAGCACCGTTGCGCAATGGTTTTAGGTTTTAGGCTAATAGAAGAACCTCGTAATTGTGCTCTGCTGCTGCGGCTGATCAAGGAGCGTTGGTACGTACGGCATATGTACAGCGCACGCGGTCGAGTTTGTTACATAGGAACCAACCGCAGGCAAGTCAACCAAGTCATATGGTGCAGGCCCCGGGTGACGATAGAAGGGTTTTTCAGGATTGGATGGGTTTGTGTAAGGGCGGGTCGTCAAAAAGGTCAGCGGCGAGCATCAGGCGGCTGCGCGGCCCAAATCCTATTTTGGCGCTGTGTCGCAGCTGCCCCCTTGGAGGCGTGAAGAGATTTCTACCAGGCTTCAGGATTAGAAGCGTGCGATGGAGGACGGGCGGTGACCTTGACGGATGGATAGATTCGGTGCGCTTGGAAGGTGTTTGAATGGGTTGGAATTGTGTGCAGTGGCACCTGTGAAGGCGCTCCAAAAACGACAAGAAAAACGATAGATTGAGATAGAAGGAAAAGGAATGAGGGAGCGCAGAATACAGAAAGTAACGAAATTGCGCAATCATGGTCGTCGATTGCGCCTTGAGGGTCAGCTGAAGGCTTGGGTTGTTACGGCCATTTCAAAAATTTCCAACAAGTCTTGTCACTTGATTTACGGCGCGTGAAGCGTGACTCGCGGCTTCTTGCCTACGAACTCAGTGCCCAACCGACCTGAGCCGGCTGACTGACATAATCATGATAAGTAACCTTCACAAATTTCCTTGGAAAAACCATTACACATTAAACTACAAATTCCGCTCGCGGTACAGGATGCGAAAGAATTGGCACTGCTGAGATTGCGCCGGGTTTTCCTAACTGACCATGGAAACTTAAAAACGACTTTAGAGTTCGCGGTTAGGGAGCCCCGCGGTTAGCCAACAAAGAAAATCACAGCATAGATACACGTTAGGAAGCTCTAGCATAACCGCCTCTGCTGTCATCCATATCCATCTTAACTCTCCACCGTTCTTGTTGTTGCAATTTTTTTGCGGTAACGTTAAATGTGCTTCGTTGTGCAGCTGTGCCAATAGCAAGGACTTCGGAGTCATCGATTGCAGACAGCTTAATGCGTGCTGTAATCGATCGCTTCTACTCCGTTATTGGACTCCGGCAACGAATAGCGGTACATGTTGGAGCATGCATTCAAAGGGTTCGGCAAACGCGTCCGTTGTAGGCAAGGTTTCGTCGCTTCCTTTTGCGACTATATACGCGCCGTTTGGGGGGCTGGTTGCTAACAGAGCGGTTAGATGTAATAATCTTGTAGATCTACCAAGTAATCCTAATGTTAGCGACGTTGACTGAACAAGCGAACTGCAAATGTTACCGCTCCAACGGTGCAACGTTTGAGCGGTAACATTTCCTTCTTTTCACAATAACCATCAGCCCTCATGAATCCTCAGCCCAAATAAGTAAGCCCTACATGATGATGTTTCCATTATCTTAGGTTCTCCCAGTAACAGTGTGCTCAGTCGGCTTAGGTGGCAAGCCCGGATTGAAAGATGCGAAAGCCTCAGCAATGCCCGACGCCGTTTTACATGAAATGTGTACTCACAATTTCACTCATCACTACGCCTTGGCCATGGCAGAGCTGTCAGCAGTGACCCCACTTTTGGCATGGGTGTCTTGTGCTTATCCATCAAGCTGTCAAGCAGTAGATATCAATCCTGAAATTATCTTTAAACAAATATAGGAAGAGCGCGAATGCATATCGTGAGCTGCTAGCACGGCGGATGTGTTGTTCAGCTGACCAAAGCCGCCTCGAAAGACGGTAAGCGGGACAAACAGGTTACGCATAAGCTGAAGTTGAGTAACACACGCCCATAGTTGCGAAACAAGCTTCCATTCGCGGAATCACCTATTAACAGCAGCGTGTACTCAATCAGCCGGGGTTTGAATTTTCTCCCAGGCGCACGTGCCGTCCATCTTAAAAGCATCAACTTAACTAGAATTGTAAAGTGTATATTATTACTGGGAAAAAACAGTGTTTTGACGCGGAACGAGAAAAATTGAAAACAGTCGTACCTCTATTTCGCCTGTAACAGGGTTGCGACGTATTTCAGCATAATACGATAGAAATTATGCCTACTCGAATAACGTCCCAAAAGCTTTGATTTTTAGGGCGGCGCAATGATTATTTTCTATGTTTTGTCGTACAGGCCCCACACGTCTTTTTTTAGCACGGAGACCGCGTTATGCGTGCTATGGGGACCTTGGCTATTTCTAAGTAGTGCGTTACATTAGTGACAGGCATAGAAGACAGTCGATGTTCACCATCCCGGCGAAGATGGATGACGGCTCCGAGAGTAAGAAAGCGATACGTGGTCGGAAACCTGGTACAACAACTAATGAAACATTTCAATGTTGTCGGGCCATACTGCACAACTGCACACAGTGCGGCACGCAAAGAAGTGCAAGGCTGTCGGTGTCATGAACCCCCAAAAAAACCCTCACGAGTTTGGTCTTGATCTGAAGAACTGCACGGGATCCTCACATGTGTTGTGATTTCGGTCAGACTTCCTGAGCATTTTTCTTTTGCTTTTATGGTTTGTCGTCGTGATAAGCCTTGTACTGCGTTTGGTCTGATTCCTAGTTGGGTCTTATCGTACGGACCTGATCGTTTTAGTGCTACTTGTACCCTGAAGGGGCAATGCTTCATCAGCTGATTGTAACCTCTATTGATCTTCTGGATTTTGGAGTGTCCTTCGAGGTTGAAGCATAGTGTCAGCTCGCTTGTCCAGCTCGCGCTCAACTGGACCCATTATCAGTCCTTTTCCAACTAATTTACAAAGACATGAAGCCAAGGCAGGGTATCACCGTTCACCGTGCGTGGCAAATCCTGGTAACTTCGTTAGTACCCGGTAGGTGCACAAAAGCTCACCCCACATCTAGAAAGTTTAGTTAATCAGCGCCCGAACGAGAACCAGAAGCTGAAAAGTCGCAAAAACAAATAACGAATGCTGTGTCACAAACTTCCATGTTTCCCTGGGGCTGCACAAGATTTTAAAAGTAACGTTACCGGCCTAATTAGGCGGTAAGGCTGCGTAGTACATATCTGTCCTCAGGAAGGAGGGGAAGAGCACGAGCGCATACATATGAGGATGCCGCCACCAGGTAGGCTCCGCTGTTGAAGTGGTGACTATGCTCTTGGAGACGTGGTCCGCAGAACTCCTAGCACAGAACTCCTAGCACTGAAGGGGAAAGTAAAGCAGGCCTGCTCTGGATGCCTTGCCTAGCTGGCCCGACTGCCTTGCCTAGCTGGCCCGACTGCCTTGCCGTACCTGACTCCTGCGAAAACACAGCTGACGTCGCAGAAAAGGAAATCAGTCACGTACATAACATCCCTTCGCCTCCTTGCTATCATTATTTCTATCATACCTAAGGACACAGGCAAGCCCAGCAACAGGCATGTCCAATCTCACAGCCGGCACAAGCCAAACACATCCACTGGAAGACAGGCACACGTTGGCCAAGGAAACGACGGGGGCTTAAATTAACAAAACGGTGAAATGCTCATTGACTGTACTATGCTTCCCGGGCTCACGCAAACAAACGTACATACATACATACATACATACATTCATTCACGAAGACAAGCCTAAAGCAGATTTGCAACAGAGAGATGCTAAAAACAAAATAGACACCCCTCACACACAATACAGAGATGCACACAAAAGGGTCGCGGTAGGGGTCAGCGGGCCAGCAAGCCCCTGCGGTGCACAAGCGGGGGTGACCTGATGCACATAAAAGACCTCCGCACCACACAAGTCCTCTCTGCCGCCCTCTCTACCGCTTTCGTCGAACAACTCATCACAGCGCATTCGCGCATAGGCACACACATTTCATACGCACATACATACACATCTACTTGCTGACACATACACACATAAATACTCTGACACACATTCACTCATGCACGTATATACGTGCGCCCAGGTAACGCATACTGTTCATCATCATCATCATCATCACCACGCGGTGTCACTTACGGGCGAACCCCTCTCGCACCAGCCCAGCAAACCGCCCGCAGAGTCGATTCAGATTCTTGGGGGACGTACGTATACACGTAAACACACACGCACAACGCAGACAGACAGACGGACAGGTGAACAGACGGGGTGGAGGGTTCTGCGGCCTAACAGTCAAGTACAGAGGTCCGAAAGCGAGTAGGCACATCGCTCATGAAGTGGAGAGGAGCGAGGCAAGAGCGCACATTCACTTAGATGTCTAGTATTGCCTTGCTTCTATGCCCCCCCCGTAAGACACGTCGTGCAACTGTGTTTCATATAATTCATTCCAAAAGACCTCACACCAAGGAAAGTAATTCCCTCTCATTTATGCAGAAGAGAGTATACAGGTAGACAGACAGACAGGTGGACAGACATACAGGCACGCAAAGTCATAAGGACATACATACATACATACAAGCGTCTTGCTCCGGTGGGTCGCCATCAACGTTTCTTCCTCTTCCTCTTCCACTTGCACTCGATTCGCTAATTACGACAATAATATAATCATCACTTTTTTCAATTTGTTCGTCCACATCCATTCACATTCACAACAATAGCTGGTGATGAGATATTAATCATATCTTTTCGGTGATGTCACTTGTATTTGTCACACTTGTCCTCGCAAGCACGTGCGAAGAAAACAATTTCAGGTTTTGGTTGACGACCTAACCGTTGACCGATGACAGTTAATTATTGCTGTTAACGGGACTTGATCATGACCGTGGTAGTAACTCCTATCCTTCCTCCCTTCCTCCCCAACGCCACCGCGACTGTGAATTATCTCCCCCCTTTACCCCCTCCCCGCCTAATCTCTAACTGAAGGTGACGTGGACGTGGACGTGGATGTACGGGAACGGCAGTTGCTAGACCGTTACCATTGCCGCAACCGGCGGCGACTTCAGGGGCAGCAGCTGCAGCGGCTCGGGAGTCGGTTTTGTTGCTGGTTTGGTTTCAGTTGTTCCGTTTGGCGGCAACGATTACAGTGGCGCGGGCAAATGCTGCTTCAACGCTGCGACACACGTTCTCCCGACCAGCCTTTTAGGAAAGAGGGGAAATAGGCGGGGGTAAGGGGTGTAACAGGGGGTAGGAGGTGGGGAGGTGCAGCGCCAAGGCGGGGAGGAGGTGGGGTGGGGTCCTTTGTCTGTGTGCGTGCGTGTGTGCGCGTGTGTATGCAAGGGAACGGGGGGTGGAAATAGGTGTGCGACGAAGGGCGCGGGGCAATGCGGGCCTTCGATCGAAACTGCTGGTCGGCCGGCGTCCTCGCTGTGCTGGTGGCACTAGGAGGTCGGTGAAGGGGGAGGGATTCATATGACCATGATGATAATGTTGATGATGCTAATGATGTTGATGTTGATGGTGTTGATATTGATGCAAGGAGCCAAGAAGATTAACTGCTCTGGACCCCCCCCCTGCTGACGACTGCAGGTGTGGCATTGTCGATCTCGGCGCAATGACTTTCGCAACACATCATCATCATCATCATCATCATCATCATCATCATCATCATCATCATCATCATCATCATCATCATCACCACATCACCCCCCCAACCCCCTCCTTAGCCCTGAATTCCCCTGAATTCCCCGGCACCCCCCCCCTTTTTCATTCCACCCGACACGCACCTCATCCAGGAAGCCCGCCCGCGCCATCATCCTCAGCGGCTGACGTGTCAGGCCACAGAGCACCAGGGTTTTACCCGCCTCCCACAGCCGCCGGTGGACCTCCTCCAGCAGCTCCAGACCGCTCACGTCCACCACACTCACATGAGACATGTTCAGGACCAACACCTTGTACGGCAGGGGGAGATGGAGGGAAAAAGGAATGAAAAATCATATGGTTAAGATGTAGTAGTATGCAAAACTCTAAAGCCCTAAGACCGACACCCTACGCCGTAAGCACCAAGAGCACGACGGAGGAAAGGGGAAAGACATTTGACGATGACGGTAACAGAAACAGGAATGATTGCGTGGAGACACATCCATAGCCGCAAGCTTAAGATATATTATTTTAAGGGGGATGGCGGGAGATCAGTATGCCAGAAGGGGAGGAAGTGGAAAAGAATTTGAGATGAGAGGATGGCTTCCTCCTGTACAATTAATGCTCTTTTCTGTCATGTTCATGTGGATTACCCGCGCCGTAGTTGTCCCTCCTTTCCTCTCCCCCTCCCTCCTTCCCCCCTTCCCTTCTTTCCCTTCTTGCCCTGGCAGCAGCTTCACTCGCTCGTGGTTCGTCTTTTCCCCCCTTCCTGCCCACCTGGATGGCCTCCCTGGAGGGCGTCGCCTCCCCCTCCGCCTCCACCGCCCGCTCCAAAACCTCCCCCGCACCGAACAACAGCGAGCCAGTAACCTGCGAGCGTTCAAGAGCGCGGTCGTGGAAGGAGAGGAGGAGGAAATTGATGAGGACGTTGATGAGGAAATGTTGGGTACAGGGAGGGGGGTGCCTTGAAAGGTGTTGGTGAAACAGGTGTGGCGGGGAAGAGGGGGAAGAGGGGGGAGAGGGGGAAAGACGAACCACGAACGAGTGAAGCTGCTGCCAGGGCAAGAGTGTACCAGGAGTAGAGGGGGAGGGAGGGGAAGAGGAATGGGAAAGGAAGGCGTGTCGGACGCGTGTGGGGAGAACCAATCAGAGAAGTAATGAGAGAGAGATGCATATATATATATACGCATTCATAAACGCGTCTGTCGTACTGCCGTACATACCTCGACGTACACAGTGCCTGGCGGCACGACGCAGCCCAATGGACCCCCCGCCGCCAGCAGCCCGCCGCTGGAGCCTCCGGTCGCCACCAAGGCTGAGGAAGACGAAGACGTCGCCACCGACGGGAGTGGGCCTTCCACGGGATCTTCCTCCTCCTCGCCGCTACTGCCTCGTCGTACCGGTGCCGTACGGCGGCGGTACGGCTCGTCATCAGCAGCGCCATCACTATCAAGCAATGCGGTGGAGGGGTCGACGTACGGCGGCGTCACGACGGAACGCGGCGGCAGCGCACGGACGTACATGGTCGCGGAAACGTCCTGCCCGGTACGAGAACAAAAGCGGCATACGACAAAAGATTGGTCACGGTGTACGGAAAGGAGATGGGAGGGGTAATCGTGTATATATTGGGATATAATTTGGGGATGCTGGTGATCTGATACTGTGTACGGAGAAGTACGGATCATCCGTTATCCGTTAAGTGTAATGACGTAATTCATCCTTGGATAGTAAGTTGACCCTCGATGATAACTCTTCATAAAAGCTTCGCTTCGTTTTCTTACTACCCTTGTAAAGCCCTGTACGAGCAGCCTGCCGTCCTTTCCAAACCGCAGCAGCCGCTCATGTCCTCTTCTCACGCAGGACTGAAACTGAAAAACCGTAAAAGCCTAAAACCCTAGAACACCGCCGCAACCCTTTCCCCCCCTACCCGTACGAACCTGTACGAATACCGCGAGGGCAATCACCATACCAAACGCCACCGCCACTGCAACATCCTGCAGCCCAGGGGAGATAAGCCGATGGAACTTATAACACAGCGATATTAAGGTTTCTAACTGACGCCAAGGACCCGGGAGGTGGGAAGGGGGGGAAGGGGGAAGGTGCGAGGAGTGCAGGACGGCGCGCATGGCAACAGGGGCTATGAGATGAGGGTGTACGAGAGTGTAGCGCACATGTATATATGTATGTACATATGTATGAACATACGTACGTACGTATGTACGTATGTATGTGATGTGCGTGGGGCAAAACGGGTGCATGCCAGGCGACCGACAACACGGATTCACCGTACGGATACAGTACTCCCGTGCCGTACACATGCCGTACAAATGCAGAAGGCCCACCTGCAGCACCGTGAGACTGAAGGCGATGAGGAACAGATGGGCGTCGTTCTCGGGCCCTAAGAAGTGCCCCCGGGGGTGGGGGCCGGGGGCGGGGATTGGGTGTGAGGGAGATGTGTTATTCTACGTGACAGTTTAATAATTGAATTACTTGCAATATGTTGTTACAGGGTGGTACAGCTTCACAATATATGTGCAACAGTCACCGAAGTAACCAACTACCAACGTCAATAACAGAACGTCCCAAGGAATAGTGCACACGGGGCCCTTAACGTAACGTAACCCGGCCGCCAAAACGTCACTACTTACCCCATCAATCCCACCATCCTTCTCCTTCTTCATTCATCCGTACACATACATACATACATACATACACATACAAAGCTCCCCCTTCCCCTCCCGCCCAACCACCCCCCAAGCGACCCACATTTCGGCAGCTGCTGGAAATTGTGCCACTCGCCCATATTGAGCGCCACCACCACCAGCACCGCCGACAACGCCGGCAAGGGGATGTACTCCGCCAGCGGCGCCGCCGCCAGGATCACCGCCGCCACGGCGGCGGCGTGAACCAGCCCCGAAACCGGGGACCGGCCGCCAGCGCGGATGTTAGCTGCCGTACGGGCGAGAGCGCCGGTGGCGGGCAGACAGCCGAAGGCGGCACAGCCAAGATTGGCGATACCCTTCACGCAAAAGTTCATTTGGGGTTTTAAATTTGGTTTTTGTTGGTTAGTAGTTGTTGAGTGGAGGAGAGTGGAGGAGAAAGCCGGTGCAGATGAGCGGGGACCGCGCATCCGTACACATCCGTACGTATCCGTACACCCACTCAACCCGTGCTTTCCTTCTTCCTCCCAACTTCCAAGACCCCTTTTTTTTACCTCGTCAGCAATCAGCAACGATTAACGATTTATTGCATGTTTTGCATTGAAACACATACATATATACGTACATTTATACATACATACATAACATGTACACATACATGTACATTCCCTCTTAACCCTTCCCCTTCCCCCTATCCCCCTATCCCCCACCCCACCCCACCCCTCCCCCTCCCCCACCCACCCCCAACTCCTCACCCACCCCACCCCACCCCACCTGGGAAATCAGTTCCGTGTTCGAGTCGTGTTTATCCCCAATCATGGTGTCCGCCACTCGCGCACACAACAGCGACTCGATGGCGGCCAGCATGGCGATGGTGGCGGAGGGGTACAGCAGGCCGGGCAGGTCGGAGGCGCTGAAAGGAGGGTAGGGTAGGACGAACCACGGAGGAGTGGAGCAGATGAAAGGAGCGTGTGGTTGCGTGTGTGTTTGTGTGTGCGTGTTTGTGTGTGTGTGTGTGTGTGTGTTTGTGTGTATGTGTGAGGGGAGGCCGGGGCGGGGGAGAGCGGGGGAGGCAGCGGGGGACAGGGTTTTTTTATTCCAGGCCGTGGGAAGGGCCCAGAGGGGGTCCGTCCCTCGAATCCATCCATAACTTCTGCCTGGCAAAACCCGCTGGGGGGCCCCTCCTTTTCACTACCTGCGCTGAGCACTTCCGAGCTGCATATACACTCTTCTATCTCAGGCCGTACGTCCTGTCCCTCCCCCCTATTTTAGACCTGTCAAAACCCCGCCTCCTGTCCCTACCCACCGCTCCGAAACCAGCTCTACCCCTTCCTCCTCCGCACCCCCACCCGCACCCACCCACCTCAGCCCCTGCGGCCACTGCAGGGAGGGCAGGGACCTGGGAATGGCGCCCTCGCCGAAATGACTGCCAATGGTTTCAATACCCAGATCCACCCCCGGTTGTAGCAGCTGTAGCAGCTGCAGCCCCAGAGTGCCGGCGGCTATGGCCACGATGGGGGTGGGAACGACCTGTTGCGGGGGAATTAGAGGAGCGGCCGCGGGGAAGGGAAGAGGAAACGCATCATGTATGAAGCATACAACTATTTGCTGTAATGCGAAGACGATATGCACACGTGCAGATGACATGGATGACATGCACACATGTACATACGGACACATACACACACGCCCCTGCGTGTCACGTGCCCTGTCTCCTTCCCCTCTCCCCTTTACCTCACCCCTGTTCCCCCTACCTTTCCCCACTCCTTGGGCCATGTCTTAATTAAGACCAGACAGCCCAGAGCCATCGCTACGGAAGGAACGTGAGCCGCGTCCAGATGGCTGCCTGAAATGCAGGAGAAGAGGAGAGGGGTGGTACGGGTCGGAGGACGACAGGTCGGAGAGCGAACGCCGTATGGGGAGGTTATGCGTGCGTATGTGTGTGTGGGAAAGGGGAGAGACGGGGGCCCGGATTTTAAGTGGAGTTCACCAACCAGCCGTGGGCCCTCACCCCCATCCCCATCCCCACTGACCCCCCCCCACTACACCTCCTCGACAATCCGTCTATCTCACTACCTGCTTCACTCGTCTGTGGTTCATCTCACCACCCCCCTCAACACACACGCACACAGAAATCTCCCACCTCATGTAAAGCTCCTTTCCTACCATTTCCCCCTCACCCCAAACCAAGCCCTTACACTAATACCCCGAAAAACACACACAAAACTCCCTGTTTCCCCCCCTCTTCCCCCCTCTTCCCCTCCCCCCCCCCCACACACGCGCCTCACCGAGGTAAACCACCTTCTCAAGAAACTCGGTAGGCACCGGCACACCCTCGGGCAGCCGACCCGGAGCACCCAGACCCAAAAAGTCCTTGATCTGCGGATAATGACGGTTGTCGTACATATTGGATGTCGTACAGACGGGTTAAAAAGGGTAAAAGAGCGTTTCGGGTAAAAGGACCAGATAGGCACACGTATTATACTATATACGATAAAGATGATGACGTTTCGAGGGGGCAAAACACGTGGTAACTGTCAGTGGGTTTGTTTGGTTGTTTGAGGATCAACTTCCGACCTTCCAACGCAACGTGGGGTGGGGTAGGTAGTTAGGGTGGGTAGGTAGTTAGGGTGGGTAGGTAGTTAGGGTGGGTAGTTAGGTTGGTTAAACCGGGTCAGTGAGGTAGCGGACCGTGCCGAGTAGAAAGGCCTTGTGCCGCAACCCCCTTCTGCATCAATTCCCCACCCCTTCCCCTGACCCGCCTTCTCAGCCAAACACACACGGGGCCTTTTTTCACCCCGACACCCACCCTTACCTGCGTTCCGAAGATGTACGTGGCTATGCCCGCCGTGAAACCCGTAACCACGGGCTTGGGCACGTAGCTACGACATGAGGTCGGGGGGTAGTAGGGTTGGGGGTAGTAGGGTTGGGGGTAGTAGGGTTGGGGGTTAAGGGGTCGTGGGGGGATATAGAAATAAAGGAGGGCAAAGAAACAACGAGGCTTCAAATATAGCTGCCGACTGACGTCCAAAGCTGCCTTGGAGAGTGGGATCCTATAACTCTGTGTGTGTGTGTGTGTGTGTGTGTGTGTGTGTGTGTGTGTGTGTGTGTGTGTGTGGTTGTTACAGTGGGCTCCAGAAGACTCCCGAAGAGTAGAGCCATCGGGCCAGCTAGGCCGTGCATTATTACTGCACTAGAGAGCCGTAATGATGATGGCCTAAGGCATGGCCGGGGGGATGGGTAGGGGCCGGGGGGGGGATGGTGGGGCATAACCACCCCACGCAACCGGCTGACAGTTTGCCAGGACTAAGTCCAGGACGAAGCGTCATGCAGATAAACAATAGCCTAAATTGCTCGGTAGCGAGAATACAGATAGATACAGCAGAACAGCTTATTTTACAAGCAGTGTGCAAGTCGAAGGGAAGTGTCAAAAGGGAAGCAATCTGGACGGGGGGGCAAACTGGAGGGTTTTAAAGACTGAAGTCTCAGTTCTCAATGAAAAAATAGACTGACTTCAAAATACAAAATACAGCCCGTCCGCCGAAACCACGCTCACCGGATGATTCCACCGAGGCCAGTGGCGCCCATCGCCACCAACATAAGGCCCGCCAGTCCCGTACACGCCACCAGCCCCGCGGCGCCGTGCGCGTGCGCCACACCCGCCACGATGGGAATGAAGGCGGCGGTTGGACCCACCACCGTCACCCGGGAACCGGACAGCGCGGACGCCAGGAAGCCCCCCACGACTACCGTGTACACGCTGTGTGTGTGCTTGCGTGTGTGTGTTTTGTACGGTTTTGGTGTTGCGTATGTATGTGTGTGTGTTTGGGGGGAGGGGGAAAGCGGGGGAATGTGAGGAGGGGGGAAATTATGTGCGCAAGAATATATAATACACATGTATTCAAGCAATGAAAGGGCGAGGGGAGTGTGGCGGAAGGGAAGCATGTCTGGATGTGTGTAAGGGTAAAAGGGGGAGCCGAGGGAGGACAGAGGATTAGTGCATACACAAAGGCGAGCTCGGGTTGGGGAAGTGAATGCAAGTGCTTTTTTTCAAGCCACGTGCAAATTGCCGCCGACGTCCAAAGCTGGTGACACCTGCGTCAGCTGCTGTCGTTGGGTGGTGTGTGTGTGTGGAGGGGTGTACCTGTGGTGCAGAGTCCAGAGGAAGCCCCTGGGGCGGTGACATCCTAGCAGCCCCCCCTCCCCCCCCTGTCTGTCGTCTGTCTGTCTGTCTCAACATCCTCCTCAACACCAACCCTCC